AACCTGTGTATGCTTTTCAGGTTCCCCTCCGCACACCTGTCTCCATGTATGCAGGGTCCATGTACCCCTCAGTCCCCATGATGCGAGTCAATATATACCCCACATACACACAGAGTCCGTCAAGGTTGCAGTCCCCTCCCCTATATACACACGCACCTGTCTCCATGTAGGTGGGGTCGATGTACCCCTCAGTGCCCATGATGCGCGTTGACACAATCGACTCCAGCTGTCCCTCCGGCCCCACACGCACCATCCCAAAGTCTGTCAGCTTCGCATCGTAGTCCTGTGGCGTTGGGGGGAGGGGACGGTTAGGAATATTGGAAGTATGGGGAAAAAGGGCAGTCATTATCGGGAAGCTACATGTTTGATGTCTCGCACCATGCCAAAGCCCGTCAGCTTCGCATCTTGTGCATTGGTGTCCTGTGGCGTTGGTGGTGGGAAAAGGACGAGAGGAGAGATTTGGGGGGGAGCAGGGGGGGACAGCTTGGACGTAGAGGGCAAGAGGGGGGTTGTTGAAGATTCAAAAAATCTCTAAAACAAGCTTGGGGTGGGGAGGGGGGGACAGCTTGGCTCTTGAGATGTCTCTTGAGAAATCTTGGGGGAAAGGAGGGACAGCTGACAGAGCAGCGAGAGCAGCGCTGATAGATTGTTTCTTCTGCTTTCTGCACTGCTACCTCCCACCTCTCCCACGCACTCACAGGAACGAGTTTTGAGACGTCTCAAAACTTCTTCTGCTACCCGCGCTGCTACCTCCCACCTCTCCCACGCACTCATGGGAGTGAGCAGCACGTTGGTGGCTTTCAAGGCGCGGTGAATGAAGTTGAGTCCGTGCATGTATGCCAGCACCTCTGCTACCTGTTCCCTTCCCTCTTCCCCCCACGCACTCACAGGCGTGAGCAGCACATTGGCGGCTGAGATCCCGGTGAATGAAGTTCAGTCCGTGCATGTACGCCAGCGCTTCTGCCACCTGCACCGCCACCTCCCCTTCCCCCCACCTCTCCTTTCCCCCCTTAATGCCCATCCTCCCACACTCACAGGCGTGAGCAGCACATTAGCGGCTTTAAGATCCCGGTGAATGAAGTTCAGTCCGTGCATGTACGACAGCGCCTCTGCCACCTGCACCTATATGGTGCCACCTTCCCCGAGCCTCCCCAAGCCACCCGCCTCCCCTCTCGTGAGGCCTTACCGGTGACAGCAGCACATTGGCGGCTTTAAGATCCCGGTGAATGAAGTTCAGTCCGTGCATGTATGCGAGAGCCTCTGCTACCTGCATCGCCACCTTGAGCCGCATGTTCCAGCTGAAGAACAGCTCCCCGCTCGCACCTGCGAGAAAGGACGGAGGGGAGAACGAAAGAGAGTGGGTACCGAGGAATGCTACGGTGGGGCGTGCCATAGCTGCATGTGCGCCTCTGCTACCCGCACCGCTACCTTGAGCCGCATGTTCCAGCTGAAGAAGAGCTCCCCGCTCGAACCTGGTGGGTGGAGAGGAGGGCGGGGGGCGGGGAAAGAGGAGTTATAGAGTCTGTATTGAGGAATGAGAAGGCGGGAAGTTGGGGAAACGGGTGTGGAGGGCAGAGAGAGAGGGCAGCAGGGTAGGTAGGGATGGTTGAGAACGCGGAGAGGACGGAGAGAGCAGAGAGGTGCAAGCGGCCCCCTGTGATGAGCTCGTACACGAGCAGAGCGAGGAGAGAGAGCTGAGAGGTGCAAGCAGCCGCTCATACACGAGCACAGGGGCGAGACACACTCATACTTCACCACACAAGCAGCTACTTGCTTTTCACCACCCCACCCACTGTCCGATAGCGCACAGTACAGTACAACTTTTGAGGCGCCTAAAAAATCTCACCACCCCACGCACTGTCTGATAGCGCACAGTACAGTCCCACCATCCCCGCGTCATGAACTCGTACACGAGCAGAGAGAGGAGAGTGCTGAGTCCACTCTACTCTGGTGGTATACCACCCGTAGCACCCCATTCACTCCCTGTCCCCACCACCCCACTCACTGCGCAAAAGCGGGCCGTGCAAGCAGCCCCCTGTCATGAACTCGTACACGAGCAGAGAGAGGAGAGATCCGAGTCTACTGTAAATTGGTGGTTATCCACCCCCATCCCCCCACTCACTGTCCGAGAGCGCGCGGTGCAAGCAGCCTCCAGTCATGAACTCGTATACGAGCAGAGCGGCGGAACCCCCCCACGTACGGTCTCCTGTGAACTAGTTCCCCACCCCCTGCCCCCACCACCCCACTCACTGTCCGATAGCGCGCGGTGCAAGCACCCTCCAGTCATGAACTCGTACACGAGCAGAGCTTCGTCTCGCTCCATGCAGTAGCCGTGCAGACGCACAAGATGGGGGTGCGACAGTCGCCCCAGCACAATCACTTCTTTCTGAGAAGGGTGGGGAGGAATTGAGAAGGGTTGGAGGAGTTGAGTTGGGAAGATGGATGGGTTGGATGCGATCCATGCAGTAGCCGTGCAGACGATGCGGGTGGGACAGCCGCCCCAGCACGATCATCTCATTCTGCAAGAGCTGGGAGGGTGGTGGGTTGTCAAGGGGTGGGGATACGTAGGGGCCATGCAGCAGATACACGAGGTGTGGGGTGGGTGGGAAAACCACCAAAACAACAACAACTCGCCGCACGCTCGCACGCGCGCACGCGCGCACGCACCAGAAACTCTTCCGTGTACCGATCGCTCGCCTCGCGCATCCTCTTAATCGCCACTTCCGTCGGCTCCGCGCCAAGCCCATTCGGACCCGGCTGAAGCACCCCCCGGTACACGATTCCGAACCCGCCTTCGCCAATACAGTTTCGCCGATGGAACTTGCTTGTCGCAGACTCAAGTCCGGCGAACGTAAACTGTCGCAGGGAGCTCGGGACGAGGTTCGCGGGGTTGGGAACGGCGCTGGCACTGGCACTGTCGTTGGCACTTAGGTTCGTGCTTGAACTGTCGGCAGATACAAATTTGTCGGAGGTTTGCGAGGTACCGGCGGTTTGGAAAGAGGATTTATTATGGCTGCTGGATCCGGACTTGCTGGCGCCGCTATCAATAACTGTTGCGCTTGTTTCACCGTGGTCTGATGGAGAGGGGACGGTGGGACGGGAAAATCGAGGTTATAGTAGGAAGAGAAACGGGAAAGGGAAATGTTAGGGTTACCATTACATTCGAGTCGGCGACGCCCAACCGCCTCAAAAAAACATATTCAAGACACGGCTAATGCCGACTTAATCTCAGTACTCAACTTTTGCGAGTACGCGGCGTTGCGGCGGATTTTCTGAGAATGAAAAGAAAATGGTTTTTTTATCCATAGTATTCTCTTTTTGTTTCGGGCAAAACGTGAGTCTTATCAACGTGAGTCTTTCTGTTTCCGGCGAATCGATAACAGGATTGCTTCGGATCGAGCGAAGCCTTATGACCAGACGATCCTAGACAACAACCATTGCCGAGTCGCTATTCAGAGTGTACCGAGAGCCTGAGACATAGGGGATCGGCGTACGTACCTAATGTCGACACGAGACAACCCATTTTTCTTCTCCTTTAATTCGACGCGGCGGCTACGCTGCTATTGGACCATTGGCCAGCATCCATGAAGAAAAAAAAAGTAAAAGAAAGAAAAAAAAAGGTCGCCTACATTCCCATTTCTCTGCTGCCGCTGTTACTCGTGCATGGGACCTCAGGACGTTATGTTCACTCGCTAGCAGTAAGGCTAATACAGGAGGGGGCCTACCACGACTAGGATTACGAGGCGCTGAGAACGCGTTCTGTGTGTGAGTTAATATGGACGAGAATGATACTTGAAACCACTGTCACTCAGCACAATATGGAAAAGAAGCGACAGGATTGCTTGCAAGTATAGGAACTGCCGTCCTGAAAGCGCTTTATTGCAACGAATAATGGGGCAGTCAAGTCCTGAAGGGAAAAGCTGGCAATTATTTTACCAGAATTTAGGAATAATTTTAGTGACCTAGGAAATTGTTGTAGATGCTTCAGTCAGTCAAGTTCTCTAAAGAACCACAGCAATGGCTCTGAGTGTTGTGTTCTAACTTGTTACATTTCGCAACAGTGTCGTCTGTACGTCGCGAACCCTCCTGACCACCAGTATTCATCGCCAAAGGCCCCCAATTGAGGAATTTGTCTTTTGAGACGGTTAATTCCATTCCCAAGAACGGACTAGCCCAAGAAGGACGGGCGGACGCTGTTTCCCAAGATATTGTCGGACCGGAACTGGAACACCCTTCGAACCGCAAATTAACCGAACCAGATGCGGTTGCACTACAATAGACTGTTCTGGTCGGTGGCAGCTATGCCAAACGAGTGAATGGTGTGTGCTTTGATTTGGACCTTTGGTCTATCGAATGGCATGGAATGATGGTGGTGGTGGCACAGCAAAGCGGTTACAACTTTCACTGTCCACCACACCCCACCACACCGGACACGCACTCGCACTGATCGTGCGAATCAAACTCTCAGGCGCCCACTCATGCCTACATCGCAGAGACACTTGCGGACCCCTGGTGCAGATCGTTCGTGCGACGCCAAACGCGGTGCTGGTTCGGAAGTGGAAAGTTTACAAAAATTACGTTTTTTGCTCTGACCCATTTTTGCTTTCACACATTCTAGTGGAGGTTTTAATTAAACGTGACGACAGCTATTCCCCATGTATGTCACGAGAGTGCGGGATTTTGGAAGAGGTGCCGCCCATCAGAGCTAGTGGCTACTCCAGTTATATAGTGTATTGATTTCATCCCAGATTGCTGGAAATATTGAGGGAGAAATTAGCCAGCTGGCCGTATCTGTAGAATGCCAGACAACTCACGCCAAAGTTCATGTTACAGTAAACAGTGACTCCACTACAACTCCCCCTCAGCATCTGTAGCGACGCTAAGGGAGGTGAAACTGTGATTCGCCTAAGGACACTCGATCTAAACGGTAGAAACCAAGAAATGCTTTTGCTTTTAGTGCAGTGTCAATCTACAGATAGCAAAGCTCAATGCACAATTCTTTAGCTAGCAACAAGCATCAGCGGGCTGGCATTTGAAATGTGGTTCGCCCAGAAGTTGGCCACAGGAAGCAAGTAACGATGGCCATACCACTCCACTGCTGCCACCGCTGCATACAGCAAGGAAGAAAAAAAGAGGAAAAAAACTCAAATCTTAGCATGAGAGGAACAATAAACAAGAGTACTCTGAAACCGCAACGGAAACAACATTCCCCCACGCGTTCTACTCTCTATTAAATTTGAGTAAATTACAAAAAAACAGGAGTGGAACAGAACCATTTGCAAAGAGGGCCGATTGAGATGCCAAAGAGAGGCGTACATGTGAGGGCAAAGATGGGCAGCCGAGCGAGAGCACATAGCAGCCCTAATGGTGACATTTGAGTCACCATGGGAGATGTGCAAGAGGCTTTCCCCCAAGTGGCTTCAAAGAGGGATGGGAAAGAGATGGGAGAGAGAGACTTACATGTGAAGGCAAAGATGGGCAGCCGGGTGAGAACACACAGCAGAGTCCCCCAGGTGACATTGGAGTCGACATGGGAGGTTCGCAAGAGATGCCTTCCCCCAAAGTGACTCTCTAGTTGACTCAAGAGATGGGGAAAGACATGGGAGAGAGATGGGAGAGAGATGGGAGAGAGAGGCTTACATGTGAAGGCAAAGATGGGCAGCCGGGTGAGAGCACACAGCAGAGTCCCCGACCCTCCCACGAGCCCCATGTGTCTCTGCCGCCCTTCCAGCGCCAGCTCAGCAGCCCGTTGCACCGCTGCAAGCTCAGCGCCCTCCAGCACCTTCTCCACGTCCGACCATGACAGCGGCACCATGACACGTGGCAGCACCTCATTGGCCACTGCTTCCAGCCCTCCATTCTGCCATGCTGCCTGTCCCCTGAGCAGGTGCGCCCATAGAATATCGCCCTCCCCATCCCCTCCCCCTTGCTCCCCCTCCCCAGAACCCCGACCTGCCAAGCTGCCAGATTCACCCGAACCTGACGGTGGACCTGCCGAGCCTGTGCCGAGCCTGACAGAGAGCCAGGGTCGGTGCAGCTGGGCACAGGCAGCGATGACTACAAGCACGCCGTAGGTCTGGGTGATGGCTGCGAAATAGTCACGTGCTGAGGGGAGGAATAGGGGGAGGGGAGGAAGGGGGGGAGGGGAGGAAGGGGGAGAGCGGAGGAAAAGCGGGAGGGGAGCAGGAAACAGTCGTAAGAAAAAACAGCGATGACAACAAGCACACCATCGACTAAAAGCAATGGAATGCCGGCCTTTGGGTGCATCAAGCAGAGCAAAGAGAAGAGAGGTCCAGCCCCATCAGCAGGCCTTTCCATCGTGCCCACTGCTGCCTTCGGCATTCATCACATATGCCTGCGCACCTACATTGAAGTCCTTGCAAAAATAATGGTATACTCACTCACCCTTGGGAGTGTCAAGCAGAGCAGACAGCGTGCCAGTCCCATCAGCAGCAGCCTTTTCCCGCACGCCCACTGCTGCCTATATCGCATCTGCACCCCTGCACACCTGCACGTCTGCACACCTGCACACCTATCATGGAGTATACTAACAATATCCGTGTACTCTCTTACCTTTTGAAGCATCGAGCAGGGCCGAGAGCGTTGCAGCGCCATCAGCAGCAGCCTTCTCCTTCATGCCCACTGCTGCCTAGCACATCTGCACACTAATCTTCGAGCTCACTAAAAAACAAAGGAAAGCTGACCTTTGGGTGCATCGAGCAGAGCAGAGAGCGTTGCAGCCCCATCAGCAGCAGCTTTCTCCTTCACGCCCACTGCTGCCTCTAGCACATCTGCACACCTAGTATTTGACTCCACAAAAAGACAGCGGTGCGCTCACCTTTGGGTGCATCGAGCAGAGCAGAGAGCGTTGCAGCCCCATCAGCAGCAGCCTTCTCTTTCACGCCCACTGCTGCTTCTAGCACATCTGCACACCGCGCCGCCACAGCCCCCCACAACCGGACAAACGACGCCGCCTCCGCTGCAGAAACTGCTGAGAGAATGTTGTACCAGAAGACGGCCCTTCGGTGCACCAGCAGTGCTGCTGTGAGGTCCCGGGCGGCCTGATGGAATGGGGAGGGGACACGGGGGAACAGATCAACCAATCCAAGGGCAATCAGGGGAAGGTTGGGGGGAGGGTTGGAAGGGGGTCAAGCAGAAGACAGCTTCTCAATGCACCAGCAGTGCTGCTGTGAGATCCCGGGCGGCCTGATTGGGATGGGATGGCACATGGGGTAAGGCATGAATGAATGCAAGTACAGTCGGGGGAGGGTTGTGGGAAAAGCAGGCAGAGGTTCAAGCAGACGACGGCCCTTGGGTGCACAGGAACGCTGCTGTGAGATCCCGAGCAGCCTGAGAGGATGGGAATGGCAAATAACGGGGGAGGGGGGGGGGGGAGGGGAGGGGGTGTGCTGTGAGATCTCGGGCAGCCTGAGGGGGGAAGAAATAGGAGCTTGGCATGAGGAGACATAGGAGCTTGGCATGAGGAGACATAGGAGCTTGGCATGAGGAGACATAGGAGCTTGGCATGAGGAGACATAGGAGCTTGGCATGAGGAGACATAGGAGCTTGGCATGAGGAGACATAGGAGCTTGGCATGAGGAGAAATAGGAGCTTGGCATGAGGAGACATAGGAGCTTGGCATGAGGAGACATAGGAGCTTGGCATGAGGAGACATAGGAGCTTGGCATGAGGAGACATAGGAGCTTGGCATGAGGAGACATAGGAGCTTGGCATGAGGAGACATAGGAGCTTGGCATGAGGAGACATAGGAGCTTGGCATGAGGAGACATAGGAGCTTGGCATGAGGAGACATAGGAGCTTGGCATGAGGAGACATAGGATCTTGGCATGAGGAGACATAGGAGCTTGGCATGAGGAGACATAGGAGCTTGGCATGAGGAGACATAGGAGCTTGGCATGAGGAGACATAGGAGCTTGGCATGAGGAGACATAGGAACTCCTAGGAACTGCCTATTGAAGACAGCAACCCTAGCATCACCTCTTTTTGAGTCGACTAAGAAATTGGGGGGTGGGGGATGAGGAGGGAGTTGACACGGATGGGAGGATAGGAGCAGATGTGATGCTAGGGTTGCATTGAGCTCACTTTTGAGAATTCTCAAAAGTGATTCCCAAATAGGGTTGCATTGAGCTCCTTATTGAGCACAGCAGCCCTAGCATCACATCTGCTGCACCAAGAAGCAAGCTCCCCCTTATGGCCCCCACCAACCACCGCAAGGGGGAGTTGTCAACTCAAGGGAAAGCTCTCCCACGCAATCCCCACCCAATGCGCGTCCAGTCTGCTGCTCACCAGATCGCATGGCTCTGCTTGCTGCTCACCAGATCGCATGGCTCTGCTTGCTGCTAACCAGATCGCATGGCTCTGCTTGCTGCTCACCAGATCGCATGGCTCTGCTTGCTGCTCACCAGATCGCATGGCTCTGCTTGCTTGCTAGAACTCCCCCTCAAACGCAGCAGCTCTAGCATCCCCTCTGCTCCAACCCAGCAACTCCCCCATCTCCCCCACCGACAGCTCATCCCACCACCAGTGCCCCACCACCAGTGCCCCACCCAGTCCTCTGCTCACCATCAGCACTCACCAGATCACATATATTTACGTGATAAAAGTGTTGTTTTGAGACGTCTCAAAACACCACAAATGCCTCACCACCAGTGCCCCACCCAGTCCTCTGCCCACCATCAGCACTCACCAGATCACATATATCTTCTTGCTTGAACTCCCCGTCGAAAGCGGCAGCCCTGGCGTCTCCCTTGCTGCGCCCCAGCAGCTCCCCCATCTCCCCCACCGACCGCTCGTCCCACCGCAGAGACACCAAGTCCCTCCCTGGCTTGCTGTCTCCTGTAGCAGGTGCTGCTCCTGCAGCTGTAGCAGACAGGGTGAGACAGAGTCAACAAAGTCAACAGATTAGGCGCAGCTCCCCCATCTCCCCCACCGACCGCACGTCCAACCGCAGAGATGCCAAGTCCCTCCCCGGCTTGCTCTCCGCTGCTGCTCCGGCAGAATCATATGCAACTCCAGCTGCAGCAGACAGGGTGAACAGGGTGAATATAAGTCAAAAGATTAGGCACACCTCCCCCATCTCCCCCACCGACCTCTAGTCCCACCGCAGAGACGCCAAGTCCCTCCCCGGCTTGCTCTCAGGTGCGGCTTCAGCTGTAGCAGGGACTCCCCCATCTGTAGCAGAGAGGGTCAACAGAGTCAGCAGAGTCAGATTCAGCAAAGTCAACGGGGTTCAATGGGGCCAACAATCAATGGAGTCAACAGAGTCAACAAAGTCAACAAAGTATACAGAGTAAACAGAGACAACAAGGCAAGGATCGTGTGCAGGTATCTCATAGGCTCACCTTCCAGTGAGATTGAACTGCTGTCCTCTGTCTCTGTGAGACCGCCCTCAGCCCCTTCAGATCCGGTGTCATTCCCAGCCAGACTGCTTTCAGTGGTTGCCTCGCCACCTTCTGTGCCTGCCTTGCCACCCTCTGTGGTGGTGGTTGCCTCGCTGCCTTCAGTGGCTGTTTTGTCACCACCGTCTTGATCTGCGTGCTGGCTTGGTGGCACTGAAGGCGCTGCTGCGTTCCTCCTCTCCCTCCACCCTTCCACTGCTGCTGGGCTGCCCAACACTGTTTCCATTCGCTGCAGGAGGAAGTACAGAGGACGCCCAGGGGAAGCAGACAAGAGTGATGAAGAAAAGAAGATGTTTTAGGCACCTTACGCCAAGGGGAAGCACACAAGTACAGAGGGCACCTTACGCCCAGGGGAAGCACACAAGTACAGAGGGCACCTTACGCCCAGGGGAAGCACACAAGTACAGAGGGCACCTTACGGACGCAGCGCACCATGCCTCGAGCACGAGGGCTTAAGAGAGAGAGAGAGAGAGAGAGAGAGAGAGAGAGAGAGAGAGAGAGAGAGAGAGAGAGAGAGAGAGAGAGAGAGAGAGAGAGAGAGAGAGCCAACAAGAGAGCCAACAAGAGAGCCAACAAGAGAGCCAACAAGAGAGCCAACAAGAGAGCCAACAAGAGAGCCAACAAGAGAGCCAACAAGAGAGCCAACAAGAGAGCCAACAAGAGAGCCAACAAGAGAGCCAACAAGAGAGCCAACAAGAGAGCCAACAAGAGAGCCAACAAGAGAGCCAACAAGAGAGCCAACAAGAGAGCCAACAAGAGAGCCAACAAGAGAGCCAACAAGAGAGCCAACAAGAGAGCCAACAAGAGAGCCAACAAGAGAGCCAACAAGAGAGCCAACAAGAGAGCCAACAAGAGAGCCAACAAGAGAGCCAACAAGAGAGCCAACACGAGAGCCAACACGAGAGCCAACACGAGAGCCAACACGAGAGCCAACAAGAGAGCCAACAAGAGAGCCAACAAGAGAGCCAACAAGAGAGCCAACAAGAGAGCCAACAAGAGAGCCAACAAGAGAGCCAACAAGAGAGCCAACAAGAGAGCCAACAAGAGAGCCAACAAGAGAGCCAACAAGAGAGCCAACAAGAGAGCCAACAAGAGAGCCAACAAGAGAGCCAACAAGAGAGCCAACAAGAGAGCCAGCAAGAGAGCCAACAAGAGAGCCAACAAGAGAGCCAACAAGAGAGCCAACAAGAGAGCCAACAAGAGAGCCAACAAGAGAGCCAACAAGAGAGCCAACAAGAGAGCCAACAAGAGAGCCAACAAGAGAGCCAACAAGAGAGCCAACAAGAGAGCCAACAAGAGAGCCAACAAGAGAGCCAACAAGAGAGCCAACAAGAGAGCCAACACGAGAGCCAACAAGAGAGCCAACAAGAGAGCCAACAAGAGAGCCAACAAGAGAGCCAACAAGAGAGCCAACAAGAGAGCCAACACGAGAGCCAACAAGAGAGCCAACAAGAGAGCCAACACGAGAGCCAACAAGAGAGCCAACACGAGAGCCAACACGAGAGCCAACACGAGAGCCAACAAGAGAGCCAACAAGAGAGCCAACAAGAGAGCCAACAAGAGAGCCAACAAGAGAGCCAACAAGAGAGCCAACAAGAGAGCCAACAAGAGAGCCAACAAGAGAGCCAACAAGAGAGCCAACAAGAGAGCCAACAAGAGAGCCAACAAGAGAGCCAACAAGAGAGCCAACAAGAGAGCCAACAAGAGAGCCAACAAGAGAGCCAACAAGAGAGCCAACAAGAGAGCCAACAAGAGAGCCAACAAGAGAGCCAACAAGAGAGCCAACAAGAGAGCCAACAAGAGAGCCAACAAGAGAGCCAACAAGAGAGCCAACAAGAGAGCCAACAAGAGAGCCAACAAGAGAGCCAACAAGAGAGCCAACAAGAGAGCCAACAAGAGAGCCAACAAGAGAGCCAACAAGAGAGCCAACAAGAGAGCCAACAAGAGAGCCAACAAGAGAGCCAACAAGAGAGCCAACAAGAGAGCCAACAAGAGAGCCAACAAGAGAGCCAACAAGAGAGCCAACAAGAGAGCCAACAAGAGAGCCAACAAGAGAGCCAACAAGAGAGCCAACAAGAGAGCCAACAAGAGAGCCAACAAGAGAGCCAACACGAGAGCCAACACGAGAGCCAACACGAGAGCCAACAAGAGAGCCAACAAGAGAGCCAACAAGAGAGCCAACAAGAGAGCCAACAAGAGAGCCAACAAGAGAGCCAACAAGAGAGCCAACAAGAGAGCCAACAAGAGAGCCAACAAGAGAGCCAACAAGAGAGCCAACAAGAGAGCCAACAAGAGAGCCAACAAGAGAGCCAACAAGAGAGCCAACAAGAGAGCCAACAAGAGAGCCAACAAGAGAGCCAACAAGAGAGCCAACAAGAGAGCCAACAAGAGAGCCAACAAGAGAGCTAACACGAGAGCCAACACGAGAGCCAACAAGAGAGCCAACAAGAGAGCCAACAAGAGAGCCAACAAGAGAGCCAACAAGAGAGCCAACAAGAGAGCCAACAAGAGAGCCAACAAGAGAGCCAACAAGAGAGCCAACAAGAGAGCCAACAAGAGAGCCAACACGAGAGCCAACACGAGAGCCAACACGAGAGCCAACACGAGAGCCAACAAGAGAGCCAACAAGAGAGCCAACAAGAGAGCCAACAAGAGAGCCAACAAGAGAGCCAACAAGAGAGCCAACAAGAGAGCCAACAAGAGAGCCAACAAGAGAGCCAACAAGAGAGCCAACAAGAGAGCCAACAAGAGAGCCAACAAGAGAGCCAACAAGAGAGCCAACAAGAGAGCCAACAAGAGAGCCAACAAGAGAGCCAACAAGAGAGCCAACAAGAGAGCCAACAAGAGAGCCAACAAGAGAGCCAACAAGAGAGCCAACAAGAGAGCCAACAAGAGAGCCAACAAGAGAGCCAACAAGAGAGCCAACAAGAGAGCCAACAAGAGAGCCAACAAGAGAGCCAACAAGAGAGCCAACAAGAGAGCCAACAAGAGAGCCAACAAGAGAGCCAACAAGAGAGCCAACAAGAGAGCCAACAAGAGAGCCAACAAGAGAGCCAACAAGAGAGCCAACAAGAGAGCCAACAAGAGAGCCAACAAGAGAGCCAACAAGAGAGCCAACACGAGAGCCAACACGAGAGCCAACACGAGAGCCAACAAGAGAGCCAACAAGAGAGCCAACAAGAGAGCCAACAAGAGAGCCAACAAGAGAGCCAACAAGAGAGCCAACAAGAGAGCCAACAAGAGAGCCAACAAGAGAGCCAACAAGAGAGCCAACAAGAGAGCCAACAAGAGAGCCAACAAGAGAGCCAACAAGAGAGCCAACAAGAGAGCCAACAAGAGAGCCAACAAGAGAGCCAACAAGAGAGCCAACAAGAGAGCCAACAAGAGAGCCAACAAGAGAGCCAACAAGAGAGCCAACAAGAGAGCCAACACGAGAGCCAACACGAGAGCCAACACGAGAGCCAACACGAGAGCCAACAAGAGAGCCAACAAGAGAGCCAACAAGAGAGCCAACAAGAGAGCCAACAAGAGAGCCAACAAGAGAGCCAACAAGAGAGCCAACAAGAGAGCCAACAAGAGAGCCAACAAGAGAGCCAACAAGAGAGCCAACAAGAGAGCCAACAAGAGAGCCAACAAGAGAGCCAACAAGAGAGCCAACAAGAGAGCCAACAAGAGAGCCAACAAGAGAGCCAACAAGAGAGCCAACAAGAGAGCCAACAAGAGAGCCAACAAGAGAGCCAACAAGAGAGCCAACAAGAGAGCCAACAAGAGAGCCAACAAGAGAGCCAACAAGAGAGCCAACAAGAGAGCCAACAAGAGAGCCAACAAGAGAGCCAACAAGAGAGCCAACAAGAGAGCCAACAAGAGAGCCAACACGAGAGCCAACACGAGAGCCAACAAGAGAGCCAACAAGAGAGCCAACAAGAGAGCCAACAAGAGAGCCAACAAGAGAGCCAACAAGAGAGCCAACAAGAGAGCCAACAAGAGAGCCAACAAGAGAGCCAACAAGAGAGCCAACAAGAGAGCCAAAGAGAGTAAAGAAGAGCATGAGGGTTTGATTGAGAGGGCACGGACCTTGATATCTTCCCTTACTGCAGCTGCTGCCTCTACCCGCCCATCCCCCAGAGCCATGGAGTATTGCCCCTGGCAATCAGACGGCAGCTGCACCGCTGCAGCATGCTAGTGAGCAAGGGAGAGAGAGAGCAGCAAAAGAGGGTTCTGACCTTGATGTCTTCCCTCACTGCCGCTGCTACCTCCACGCGCCCATCCCCCAGAGCCATAGAGTACTGCCCCTGGCAATCCGGCAGCAGCTGCACCGCTGCAGCATGCGAGAAAGAAGAGGAGAGAGCAGAGGAGATAGCACGATAGAGAGAGCAAGAGGGCGAAAGAGAGAGCTCTAACCTTGATATCTTCCCTCACAGCAGCGGCGGCCTCCACTCGCCCATCCCCCAGAGCCATGGAGTACTGCCCCTGGCAGTCAGGCAGCAGCTGCACCGCTGCAGCATGCAGGCGGCACGCATACGCCTCCTCCATCCTCCCCTCCCTCACCAGCTCCCCACTCAGCCGCCCAAACTCATTCCGTGCAACACTCGCCGCCCCTTCCGCTAGCTCCTGTAGCGTCTCCTCCCACCGCTTCTGGGAAGCTTTGTTTGGCAGGCGTATCACTGTGGGCTGAAGGACGGACTCTAGGGCGGCAGTGATGCTGGCAGTGAATACGCCCTCCCCCAGTTGAGCCCCCACTATGGGCAGCACGTGGTCTGCTGCCAGGCCCTGCAGCCCGCCCCCTGGGAGGCCGCTGCTGCGGTAGGATGCACCTGAAGCACCTGAGGAACCACCTGAAGCACCTGAAGGCCCTCCTGAGGCACCTGGGGCACCTGAAGCACCTGAAGCGCCAGGACCGCAACCGTCGCCGCCGCCACCACCGGTGGAACTGCCACCGCCGTCCACTGCAGCAAAGGACAAACCCGTGCCGCCCGCAACCCCGTCACCTTGCTCCTCCCACCCTTCCCCACTCTCCCCTGACAGCGACCCTCCCACCCCTCCCCTCCCCCCACCTCGCTGCCCCACCTGTTCACTCATTGAACCCCTTAAAGGCACATCTGTGGGGGGGGTTCCTGGGGAGAGCAGGCCGAACAAACCGCCATACCCAGCCGCAGACGCCATGGCCAAAGGCACCCGCCCCGTTGAGAACGTCTGACCTAGCCGGCCCCCTTCCAGCCTCCCTCCAGCTCCTGCTCCCCCTGCCCCTCCTCCTCCTCCTGCTGCTGCTGCTCCTGCTGCTCCTGTGCCTGCTGCCATGCCTGCAGATGAGCTTCCATAGAGGGACGACAGAAGATCCATCAAGTTCCCTGATTTCCCAGTACCAGCAGCGCCAGCAGCAGCAACGCTAGCAGTGGTAGATGCATCCGTGCCTGCACCTGCACCTGCTGCTTCCATGCCCGTGCCTGCACCTGCACCTGCTGCTTCCATGCCCGTGCCTGCGGCTGTGCTGGTGGCCTGGTCTGATGGCTTGCTGCTGCCAGTGGAAGGGAACGGCCCGAGTGACAGCTCAGCGTTCTCCAGCTCAGCAACTGCCATGTCATCCCCAAAGAGGGAGAGGGGAATCGGGCCAGCGGCAACACCAACAGCAGCAGCAGAAGCAACCCCATCAGCACCAGCAGCACCACCAGCAGCAGCGGCAGCGGCAGCATGGGTTTCGGACATTGCTGCTGCTAGAGCTGCTGTTTCTGCTGCTGCCGCCACTGAATTACTCGGCACCAGCACTGGATTCCCAGCACCCGAATCATCCAGGCGAAGCGAAGGATCGGGGGTAACCGCAGTGCTGCTGAGGTCTACCCCCACAAATTCCGGGGAAGCGGAGACTGCACCCGTAGCGGCAGTATCCCCTCTCCCGCTGCTCGCACTCCCACTCACAGCAACACTCCCTGCAAAATCCCCAAAATCGTCGTCATCATCGTCAAACGAGATCTCCTTGTTTACAGCTGCTGTGGGGGCAGCAGCAGGGGGAGCGAAAGCAGGAGGCGGAGCAGCAGGAGCAGCAGCAGATGCGCCAGGAGGAGGGGCAAAGGCTCCAAAGCCTGGCGCAGGGAACTGGGGTGTTGAATCATGGGAGGGAGGGAAGGAGGAGGCAGATGCAGCCATGCTCAGACCAGATGCTGCAGCGGGTGCAGGCGCAGCAACGGCAGGCGCGAAGGCAGCAGGGGGGACTGCCGGGGAGGAGGAGAAATCACCAAAGTCGTCATCTGGGTCGAATGCCAGGGCTGTTGGCACCGGTGAAGAAAAGGATGCAAGTGCGGATGCAGGTGCGGGTGCAGGTGCGGGTGTTGTGGGCGGTGCGGATGTGGGTGCTGCAGCAGCAGCAGAGTCGAAGGCAGTAGACAGTCCAGTGCCAAAGGAGTTAAGGTCTCCAGGTGCCTGAATCCCCAACAATTGTGCTGCCTTGGGTGCTTCTGTCTCCCCGCTAGAGACAAAGTCAGCAAAGTCATCCTCCTCTTGCTCCTGCTGCTGCTGCTCCACTGGTCCAACCCCACCTGCCGCTGCCACTGGCGCTGCTGCTGCTGGGGCCGGTGCCGGTGCTGTGGTTTGAAAGCCGGCCAGAGATATAGGACCGAGGAAGGACGAGGCTGAAGGGACAGGAGCAGGGTGGGGCAGAGCAGCAGCAGATAAACCCGGAGCAGGTGCAGTGGAAGCGAGAGTATGGGAAGCATCCGCTTGGGGAAGGTTCGCCTGGGCCGCAGGAGCAGCAGGAGCTGGAGCAAAAGAATCTGAGAAATCCCCCCATTCGTCATCCTCCTCTGCTGTCCCTGTCCCTGCCGTTGCGGCTGATACACCGGCAGGAACAGCGGCTGCTGAAGCCACTGGAGCAGTGGCGAAAGCAGCAGGTTCGGTGGAAGCAGCAGACTCGGCAGAGGCAGTGGGGGCTGCGGTGGAAGACGGGACAGATGAGAAATCACCAAAGTCATCATCCTCCTCCGCATCAGCTTCAAGAGACGATCCTGCTGCTGCTCCTGGCGCTGCTGCTACCGCCTCTGCAGCTGCAACTGATTCTGCTGCTACTGATGCTTCTCCCTCCTGCTTGCTCTCCTCCTCCTTCACCTCCTCCTCCGGTTCCTCCTCCTCCCCGAAGAGCGACAGTGGGATGGGGGCAGCAAAGTTACGCGGCTGAGGAACAACCACTGCAGGCGCAGCAGCAGGTTTCTTGGTTGCTGGTGCTGCTGGCGCTTCAGGTGCTGCTGCTGTTGCTGCACCTGCACCTGCTACTGCTGCTGATGCTGATGCTGCTTCCTTCGCTCCACCGCCCGCACCTCCCGCACCTTCGCCTGGCCCTGCTCCTGGCGCTGCTCCCGTTACACCTGAAGCCGCAACAGGGCCTGCACCTGGAATTCCACCTGGAGCCGCACCTGAAGCACCTCCGGGGACTGAGCCTGGAGCAGCGCCAGGCACGGCACCTGGAACAGCACCTGGAGGCCACCAGGGCATTCCCCCAGGATAGTACGCATACTGGGGGTATTGCGGCATCCCTGATGGCATTCCTGGGGGTATTCCTGCAGGGAACCCCGGTCGCATGCTTGGTGCAACCCCGGGTGGCCCTGGATGGGATCCTGTGGGAGCAAAGGCTGCTGGTGCTGATGCTACTGCTGGGGGGGCTGAGGCGCTAGGGGATAGAGGCTGACCTCCCTCCTGCTGCTGTTGCTGCTGCTGATACTGCTGGTGTTGCTGCTGCTGATACTGCTGCTGTTGCTGCTGATGATACTGCTGCTGTTGCTGCTGCTGAAACTGCTGCTGCTGGTGCTGCTGATACTGCTGCTGTTGCTGCTGCTGCTGATGCTGCTGTTGTTGTTGTTGCTGCTGCTGCTGCTGCTGCTGCTGCTGCTGCTGCTGCTGCTGCTGCTGCTGATGCTGCTGTTGCTGTTGTTGCTGCTGCTGCTGTTGCTGTGGCACGGTTTCCCCCGTCGCTCCCTGGCCCGCCTCCCCCTGGCCCTTAAAGCCCTTCACGTGCATCTTCTGCGCCGCAGCCTCCCCTGCTTTCGCCAGCAGAGCACGATCCGTGCTGCCCAGCAGACTCGCAAACGCGTCAATGCCTCCTCCAGCTGCTGCCGAACCTGCTGCTGCCGAACCTCCCTCCGAAGCACCATCTGCTGCGGCTGATGCGCCGGGTTTCTGGGCGGCACCAGCGGCGGCAGCTTGAGCGGCGTGCATGTGTTGCATGTTCTGCATGTAAGCGGCGTACATCTGAGGGTTGACCATAACCGGCCCCATGGGACCCATGGCGTACATCGGATACGATCCAGGCATCTGCAAAACATTGTCAGAAACACGTGCTAGATGTTAAATTTGCACGTGAAAATTTTCTGGAAGAAACACTTTCCCAAAAGCGATCCCGACTTCGGCCATTTCAGGGAAAGAATTTCGGCCGGTTTTCAATAATGGCTGACAGGTTCGATGAAACGAATATTCGATTAAGTTGCATGATGTGAAAAAAATATGATCCTTTCTTGAAATCAATCAGGTCTGATCCTTGATTAGAACTACCAAAATACCAGACTCTCATAAAGCTTGATCTTAACAAGCTTAAGCAGCCCTTCACCTGTTGAGGGTATCCCTGCGGCATCGCACCAGCGTTCGCCACGTGTCCTCCCTGCAAGTGCATCATGTGCATTGCCTGCTGGTAACCAGCCACCTGCTGCGCGTGTGCTCCGCCTGGATGCTGCTGTGACGCAGCATTCGCAGCGGCCGCATTAGCCGCAGCGGTGGTAAGATCTGCTCCCTGCGATGCCTGGCTGGCCATCGCGAGGCAATGTGTGCTAAGAGTTCCGCTATGTGGACTAAAAAAGAAAGATTTGTTTTCTTCTTCTTCTTCTTCTGTCGAGTGAACTCAGAAGCCAGAATCGACGGGAAGAGACAGCCGCACGGATAGGCCCTAAACCTTCCTGGAACTCGCTTCAGACACCAGTAGCACTTGTGGGAGGAAAAACAAACTGGCAAGGAAATGTGGAAAAGCAAAATGAAACAAGGCAATCCCAATGCTTACTTGACGCTGACAGCCGAGCAAACCAGGGAAACGAGCCTCAGGCTCGGGAAAAAGGCATAATGAACCTTTAATTTGAGTTTGGAATGACTCGGCTCGGCACAGGCACTGCGGACCCCAGCAGTCACGTCCTGAATCGCAAGTGGAAGAACGGAAGGTGATAAACATTATCAAGGGTGTGATTCGAACCCACGCCCTTTCGGACTGATACCTTGAAGCAGCATCTTAGACCAAGTCGGCCATCTCGACATGTTTCTGATTCATAATTTCAATTATCAGGACTGTAAATTAAGTCCCGTCACAGGCAGACTATCTGCGCTTCCATTTATCACCTGCTCTCTCCAGTTTAGGTCAACATCGTCGTTCAGACATCCTGTGAACGCTGTCTCACTCTTCGCTTACCTCGTCTTTTTCAAGCACATCGCTCGACTTAGGTCCGCCTCGCTCCTTGCAACTTCTCGTAGCTCGGTTTCACTTTCTCGTATTCAGCCGGTTCCACCTCACCGTTCTTCTTCCGATTCACCGTGGTTGCGTCGCTTGAAGTAGGCTTTTAGGCCACTTCGTGCATTGCGTCGAGTCAAGCCGCCAAGATGATGGCCCTGTGGGAATACGTCCTTAATTGGTTACGCAGGTGCGTTCCGCTCGCTGTCTTCCGCGTGTCCGAGCCTGGATCTTGCGTGTCAGCTGCGACGAACTCCTTTCGTTTAGACCGTTGCGAAATCCGCGAAAGCATCTTCCGGCTCACGCTGCTTCTTCAGCAAGAGGCGGTCACTCTCTGATCATCATGCTCTCTCAACGGTTCAGCACGCACTTTGTCTGCCCGCTTATCCATCCCGTTTATTTCCGATCTTGTCTCCGTGCTTCTCCGGCCATCCCGTTTACCGCCTATCCCGTGTGTGTGTCCAGTTTATTCTTCCAGCAGGAGATGGAGCTATCGCTCATCGGCCTCCAAAACGCCGGCAAGACGTCGCTCGTTAACGTCATCGCTGTAAGTCCGTTGCAGCTTTGCGCGTCACTAGCAGATCGACTAGCCTGTAGCTATCAGCCTTCACCCGTTAGCCGTTAGCCGACAGCATGTCGGCCCGCTTCGACTCGTGGCGAGTATGCGGGTCCCACGGTTGCTATCCACACGGCAAGATCTCCCTGCGTTTCGTCAAACCCCTTTGGGATTTCTCACATGACCTGTTGTTGGCGCGATCTCACGCTTCTCTTGCAGCTTATCTCACTGTTTACTCCCTACCTTGTTCTCCGTCATTGACCGTTCCCCGCTTTCTGCTGACCGTCCTTGATTTTTTGCCTTGTGCGTGTGTGCATGTGTGCATGTGTGCGTGTGTGCATGTGTGCATGTGTGCGTGTGTGCGTGTGTGCTTGTGTGCGTGTGTGCATGTGTGCGTGTGTGCATGTGTGCATGTGTGCGTGTGTGCATGTGTGCGTGTGTGCATGTGTGCATGTGTGCATGTGTACATGTGTACATGTGTGCGTGTGTGCATGTGTGCATGTGTTCCTCCCCGTATGCTACGGGTGTGGCAACGCGTTCCGCCCGTTGCTTTTTCCCCCATCGCAGACTGGCGGTTTCAATGAAGACATGATTCCCACGGTATGATATGACTTGGCATGCCACTCTGCATAACGCAGCACCGCACTGTACCACACCAAATCCCGTAACCTCGCTGCCACATCGCACCATGTGATGCTACGTCGCACCACACCACACCACACCGCGGCCCACTCCACACCTCGCTGTATCGCTCTGCATAATAACCACTTTCTTCCCTAACCCGTCCCAGTACCCGTATCGTATGCATCATAAGTGTTACGTTTAGCCACTTTCTACCCATAGAAATTCCTTAGAAGTGCTCACTGAGTTCTCCGTGCCATGGTATCTATCCATCCCCTTGTACCATTGGTGCCCTTCCTGGTTCTATTCTTGCACAGGTGGGCTTTAACATGCGCAAGGTGACTAAAGGGAATGTGAGCATAAAGCTGTGGGATCTGGGCGGGCAACCGAGATTCCGGAGCATGTGGGAGAGATACTGCCGAGGCGTGTCAGCCATAGTGTAAGCAGCGCCCTCCCACGTTCCTTGTTCACGTGCTTACTCATCAGGGTTAGGCTCTGCACTCCTTGCTTGCCTTCATCTCACCGCACTCTTCTCTCCCTCCTTCCCCCCCCCACTCCCTCTTCCACTCTCCCCACCCCCACTTTCTACCCCCCCTCCTTCTCCAACCTCCATACACCCCCGCACACTCTCACAGCTATATGGTGCATTCAAAAGATCACGACAACATGCCTGGGTATTATTGACCCTCCCCTTCATTCCCCGTCGTGTTTTGAAGGCACCTCAAAGAGGAAATTCCCGTTTACCCTCAATCCCCCCCTCCCCCCGTCCGTTTTCCCTCTTTCCCATCTCCCCCTCTTCGTCGCAGCTACGTGGAGGATGCATCAGACCGAGACAACATCCCAGCGTGGTTTTTAGGCACCTCATGAATAGGCTTCGCTTCACCCTCAATCCTCCTCCCTCCCTTCCTTTTCCCGTCTCCTCCCCCTCCCCCTTTTCAGCTATGTGGTGGATGCATCAGACCATGACAACATCCCAGTGTCACGCAGAGAGCTGCATGAGCTGCTCAGCAAGCCCTCTCTTGCTGGTATCCCACTGCTGCTGCTGGGGAACAAGTGCGACAAGGCAGAAGCTGTTTCCCGGGATGCCCTAATTGAAGCCATGTAAGTGCTTTTTTCCACTTTTTTTCCTTTTTTTTCAACAAATGGTATATACCTTTTCGTTGCAATGCTCCCTAAATCCTGTATGTGTGCCATTTATACAATCTCCCTAACTTAAGCTGTTAGTATGCGTGGTGCTGGTGCAGGGGATTGAACCAGGTGATGCAGGGAAGGGAGGTGTGCTGCTACAGCATCTCCTGCAAGCATACGACTAACATTGATGTCGTTATTGACTGGCTTATCAAGCACGCCAAAAACAAGTCCTAGTGAATTTCATGGCTCAATTTCGCCGAAGTTGGAGCGTTTCCTCCAACTCTTTTATGCCACCTGCCGCTTTTTTTTAGAGCCCCTAACCTCTTGTATAGCCCTTCTCTGTTCTTTAAAGTCATTTATCAAATGGACACTGCTTACCTTATTTTGGAGAGTTATATTGTTATTATTCGTTGAATATTCATACACTTTGAACAACACGTCTGGCTGAAAGCGAGCAACCTGCCACGTCGACCTATCCACGCCACACCTCGCTTAGCCCGCCAGAGCAGCACTGATTCAGCTTCACCTACACCATACTACACAACACCACTGAACCCATCATCATCCCTTCTCCTCCCCAAACCCCCTCGCGGCAATTTCAAGGTTTGCTTTGCAGCATTCTAACACCTCCTGTCTCTCACCGAACACGGACCTGTTCCTACAGGCATCTCTTTCGTTGTCCATCCTCCCGCCATGGCTTCCCTCTCGTTCGCCGCATCCGTCGCCGCGTGCCCTGCAGCGGTCGCTTCCCCGTCAACCGCGCCGGCTTCCTCGCGGCGACTAAACGTCGAGTCGGCGCACCACGTGAACAAGAAGGCGACGGGCCGCCACGTGGCGACGCGGCCGAAGAAGCACGCGGTGTGGGACAGGAAGCGCGGCGGAACCAAGGACTACGGGCCGCTGCCCGAGGCGCCTCCCGTCTGGCGTCTAGAGGAGGATGAGAAGGCTCCGGCCGCTTCGTCTTAGGCAAATTCTTCTATGGCGCTTCGATAGATCCTAGTCTGGGACAGCTAGCCTGGCTTACGAGTCGACTCATAACCCTGGGATTGGTGAATCTGAGGGCAATGTTCCGTGGCTGGTGATTCTCCCACTCTTTTTGACTGAGTACGAGGAGGTTAAGGCCGTGTTCGATTGTTCATAGCCACGCCAGGAGCAGGGTTTTAGACGCGTTGTAGCTGGGTGCGGCTGTTGCCGGTCTTTCTTCCCATTGTTGATTCTTCCTGCCGTGTATCCGTCGAGGAATTATATTGTACTCTCGGCTTCCTTTAATTACGTCACTTCGCTACTACCACCACTGTCGAGTCATTACACTGTCATCCCGATCAAGAGCATTCGAATCTCCCAGGCGTAATTTCCTAAGGTTTGACACATTAATACTCTTTTGCTTGTTATCCCTGAAGGGAGTTTCTACCACTCGAGCCGTTTCCCAGCCTTGACGAAACCCGAGGTCTTCCCTTGCGCTGTAGTGGAGCCTTTGCTTGTCAGTTGCGTCACTCGACTTCTCTTCCCTTCCCGCAACCATCCTTCACCTCGCGTTTCCCCCATTTTCCCTCCCCTCTCGTCTGTCTTCCCCATCACCTGTTCCACTCCCCCCCGCACACTCCTTCTCTTCCCGCCGTCCTCTTTTCGTTCCTTACCTTCCTCTCTCCTTCCGCCAGCCCGTCTTCTCTCTTTCCCTTGCGTCCCTCCCTCCCCCCTTCCTCCGTCCCCTCCCTCCCTCCCACCTTTCTCCCCCATTCATCCCTCCCTCCCTCCCTCCCTCCCTCCCTCCCTCCCTCCCTCCCTCCCTCCCTCCCTCCCTCCCTCCCTCCCTCCCTCCCTCTCTCCCTCCCTCCCTCCCTCCCTCACTCACTTTCTCGCTCCCTCGCCCTCCCTCCCTTCCCCCCTTTTCTCCCTCCCTCCCGTTTCTCCCTTTTCTCCCATCACGTTCCCCGTTTCTGTGTCTCAGTCACACTTGTTTAGTCGTGCTTGCTGCTCGCTCAGCTTGTTTCCCAATCACTCCATATTCTCTTTGCATTCCACACGCACTGCAACCTTGTGCATCCGCCGTCTGCTGATTGACGCAATATCTACCGTCCCCTCATTATCCAGTCCACCCATTTCGTTGGCGGATGCATGTTCGTAATTCAAATTATGCTTCAATGCGTATCTACTTTTAGGGATGTTCAGTGTTCTGGTTGCAAGCATCGTGAAGGTACCGGTACCGGAAAAGCAATGTGTAGAGAAAAGGCCCCTTGCTGCTGGGCAAGGGGTCAGTGGCAGTGCAGAAATACCCTTCGCTTGGATGGTGTGGAATGATGCAACGGAGTGAGATAGTGTATTTGAGCAGAAATTACCGTATGATGTGTTAGCTCGGGTTTTCTCAGCCTAGGACAAATCATGGTTGGGTAAGCTGTGTAGGGAAAAAACCCTGTTCCTTGTACAACCCCAACTTTCGGAAGTGCACGTTCGGCCACTTCGCTTGCTGCCGAAGCAACCTCGCGTCGCCTTCGGCCTTTCCTTTGCCCAACTTGCACCCAACCTCGTACGGTATTCCCGAGGTTCCCGCCTAGCTAGGTTGACCCACTATATTAGCGCATGCCTTCATTGTACCGTATTGTGAATTGATTGAGTCACATCTTCGTTATTCGTTATCCCGCGCTATCTCTTTTACAACTCATAACACCTGGTATCAAAGCTACTTTCCTAGTTCACCCCGCTTTTCGAGGGTAGTTTGGTGGCACGGGTGTGGTCGGTATAGTGGACTACACGACGGTTGGCTGCAAGGTTTGTTAATTCAATCCTGCCCGACTCCGACCGTTGGCTGCAATGTTCGTGTTTTCCACTCACCGGAGGGCCACGGATACCGTACCCCTCTGCCCACTAGACGAAGCGTGCGACTCACGGACTAGGAGGCACTGAACAAGATGCTGGCGCAAATGGCAGAGCTACAGGCAACAGTGCAGACTCTATCGGCAGAAGTGACAACACTACGAGGAGAACACGCCGAGCTACGCCAGACGGGAAGTGAAGCGCGTCAGGAGTCGCCCGATGAAGAAGGCGAGGGCAACAGTCAAGCGGTGAGCAACCCGTTGGACGCGCTCACACGTGATTTCGAAGAAGAGGATAGGCAGCGACGTCAATTGCAGTAACGACGATCAAGATTAAACTTGTCAACCCGCCCCCGTTCAACCCTACGGACAAGACTACTACAGTGAAGGGGTGGCTTTGCGCCGTTGAAGTCTTCTTCACTGCAGCGGGCGTGAACGATGATGCCACGCGTATTAATTACGTGGTTTCGCTTCTTCGAGGCGCAGCGCTTGAGTGGTGGCGCTGAACCTTGGACACGGGGACCCCGACAGGTGTGACACATGCGGCAGACGGGACTTCAACGTCGGTTAATCAAGTGGCAGCACCGATATTCGGCGTGACCAAGATACGCACGTGGAAGGAGTGGGGCGCAGCCTTACGGGATCGCTTCGAGCACATATCCGGCTCGGAACAAGCTCGCATGAAGCTGCGTGCCTGGTCGCAGTTGGCATCTGTCCAAGACTACACAGCGTCATTCATGGCACTCGCCGATCAAGTGGACGACATGTCGGAGGCGGAGCGGTTGGATAAGAACGTCAGCAGCCTTAAATATGAGATACAGTACAAGGTGTGCCGATGCGGCCCGACATTGTTCCTGGAAGGAGCACGGTTGGCAGAATCCACGAACACCCTAATGCAATACGCGGGGTCGAGTTTCCGGGAGGGAAATCGTTTTCACGACCAGACACAACGGGCCACGATCAACGGAGTCCTTGCACCAGATCGCCCCTACTCCGGGTTGTGTTATAAGTGCGGGAAGCCGGGTCACAAATATGCAGACTGCCCCGAGAGAACGCCGGCAAAGAGGAACGATGGGAAAGAGTCGGGAAATGGGAAGAGTCAGTAACAGACGTGCCCCTTACTGACTGTGCTCTGTCGCCCTAACACCATCATCCCCACCGAGTCGTGATTCCGATTCATGCAATCGATCGCACTCGTCCGAATAACGGGGATAACCATGTGGATCACTCTGTGGTGGTCGTTGGCAAAGTGTTAAAAAATTACTTGAAAATGTTCGTCGACGGAGGGGCCAGCCATAGCCTCTTCAACTTGGCGACAGCAAAAAAATGCAAGCTGCAACTTGACAGGTGTCTGCCCGAAATCGACGCTCGCCTCGTGGATGGGACGCCTCTGGCGATTTTGAAAGAAACACGGACGGTGCGGATCGAATGCGGCGATGATTTCGGCTTCAGCATGAAGTTTCTTGCGACGACGCTGGACGGCTGCGACATGCTACTGGGACGTGATTGGCTGCGACTGCACAACCCCGTCATCGATTGGACAACGGGATCGTGCAGCATCAGCAAGCACGAGGGGCTAATAAAGTTGCCTGCATGGACACCTGACTACATCCAAGCCCCGTGCGTCAAAGCCAACACTATTGCTCGCCACTTCAACCGAGGCGCGCAGCTGTTCGCCGTATGTTTGCGCGAGTTGGCAACCGACACCGACGGAAAGGACATCGAGAAGCTGTACGCAGTTGTACCACCTGATTTAACGGATCTGATTCGACAGTACCCGGACATCTTCCCCAACGATTTGCCACCTCGACTGCCACCAGAACGCCCCGAAGACCACAAAATCCAGCTAGAGCCTGGCGCGCGGCCGACTGTTCGTGCACAGTGGCGGTTGACCCAACCGGAACTCGAGGAACTGCGACGACAATTGAGGGACTGTTGGAGAAGGGGTTTATTCGACCCAGTACCATATCTCCCTTCGCAGCTCCGATCCTGTTCACGCCGAAAAAGGATGGCGGGCTTCGCATGTGTATCAACTATCGCACGCTCAACTGGGTGACCATCAAATCTTGCTACCCAATCCCACGCACCGACGACCTCCTCGATCAACTTCGCGGCGCTCGCTACTTCTCGAAAATCGACTTGCGTGGCGGATACCACCAGATTCGTGTCTTCGCCGACGACTGTCACAAGACCGCGTTTCGCACTCGCTACGAAAGCTACGAATTCACAGTGATGCCGTTCGGCCTCACAAACGCGCCTTCGACATCTCAACTGACCATGAACAGGATTTTCCGGGAATTTCTCGACAAGTGTGTGATCGTCTATTTGGACGATATTCTGATTTTCAGCAGGACAAGGGAACAACACCTTTGCGACCTCGACGCAATGCTTAAGCGGTTGCAGGAGAACCGCCTCATCACCAAGGGCTCTAAGTGCGAGTTTTTTAAGCAGGAGTTGGAGTTTTTGGGGCACGTCATCTCATGTGACGGCATCAAAATCGACCCAGCTAAAATCAAGACTATTCAGGAGTGGAAGTCCCCGACTAATATCACGGAACTTCAGAGTTTTCTGGGCTTCGTCAATTACGTCAGCCGTTTTATCCCGAATATGGCGGGGATAACCGGCCCGCTGACCGGCCTGCTGCACAAGGACAGAAATTTTGTGTGGGGGGAGGAAGCTGAGGCGGCTTTTCAGGAGTTGAAGAATTTATGGAGGGGAAACTTCGATGGGTCGGCGATGCACAAAAATTTTGTGTGGGGGGAGGAAGCTGGGGCGGCTTCTCGTTTCCCCTCCAGTTTTGCGCATCGCCGACCCATCGAAGCCGTTGGAAGTCGTCACCGACGCCTCAGATTTCGCCATCGGAGCTGTACTCCTCCAGGATTTCGGAAACGGGCTGCAGCCGATCGCGTACGAGTCACGTAAGCTGCATTCAGCCGAGCGCAACTACCTGGTACATGACAAGGAGATGCTCGACATAATAGACGCGTTCAAACTGTGGCGTTACTACTTGGTAGGCACTGACGTAACTGTTCGCACGGACCACAAGTCCCTACAGTACTTGCGAGCTCAGCCCAACCTCAACCCGCGACAGATTCGGTGGCTGGACTATATGGAGAGCCACTTCACCTGCCATATCACGTACAAGAAAGGGGTGAATAACATCGCCGACGCCCTTACCTGACCGACAGTTCAATCCGTTGCAGTACTCATCACCCATTCGAACCCGCTACTTACGGGACTATTCACCCACGGCTACACTACGGACTCGTTTTTCACGACAAGAAATCACCAGCATGCAACGACGGAGAAGGGGAATCATTACCTAAAAGCCGGAACTGACCGGATTTGGGTTCCCGCTTAGGACGCGGCACCTGTTTTCATTTTACTAGGATCATGGCCTCACATCGATGCTCGCATATCGATCGGCACACCGATGTGCCCACACTGCAAATTTGCAGTGGGGTAGACACATCGAGCTATAGGTACCAGGATCGAAATTGCAGGCTCGGGCAGGTTGGAGCTGTCATTACACTTAAACGCGCAGCCAATCAGGGCAGAGCGTGGATGGTCGTCCAGCAATTCCATTCGCAGCGACTCAAGAATTTTTGGCCTGCGAGCGTGGGTGACGCCGATCGATCGAGGCTGTCACCCGTGGCGCGATATGCTCTCCCGCCAACCCTAACGCATGCACCACGGCACATCGATCGTGCGAGCTGCAGGTGCCACCAGTTTAGGTACCCGTTTACTGTACATTCTCGACGTTCAGCGAAAAACGGATACCAGGCATTGGCGATGTCGCCAATACACTGTACAAGCGGCACATCGATCCCCTCCCACGATCGATCCTGGCAAAATGAAAAAAGGTGCCGCGTCCTTACAAGTTGCTGTGTGAACTCTTAATTCATGAGGTCCACGATTCTAACCTCTCCGGACATTTCGGAGTTGATAAGATTCAGAAGCTGTTGCATCGTCAATATTATTGGCCTGATTCCGCTAACGACTTGCAGCGATATGTGTCCTCATGCAGGGTGTGCCAAGCCATAAAATCGACACGTCAGCGGCCAGCTGGACTGCTGCAACCCCTCGAGCCACCCGAACAAATGTGGCAACAGGTGACGATGGACTTCGTCGCGGGGCTGCCAGCTGGGCCGTCCGGCAACGACGCGGTTCTCGTCGTCCTCGATCGCCTCACGAAGATGGCGCACTTCGCACCGTGCCGTACGACAATCACAGCCGAAGAAACTGCGCGCCTCTTCATCTCAACAGTCGTGCGACTACACGGAATCCCCGCGGCGATCATCAGCGTCAGGGACCCGAAGTTCACATCGAAATTCTGGAAGGAGACGTGGGCGTAGTACGGCACGAAGCTACAGTTCTCATCGGCATACCACCCGCAATGGGCGGCCAGACCGAGCGCACCAATCAGACTATGGAGCAGCTGATCAGGACAAACTGCTCCGACCCCACTCGCTGGGAAAACTCGCTCGCCATGCTGGAGTTTGCGTTTAACAACGCCCCGTCCAGCACAACTAATCACTCCCCATTCTTCTTAAATTACGGGATGGACCCGACGGTGCCTACAACGACTACAATCGACAACCCGGTCCCGAGGTCACAAACATTTGTGACGGAACTTCAGGAAGTTCGCGAAAAGGTTGCGGACGCAATTCGCAAGGCGAATACCACTTCCCGAAAATACACCGACCTTCTACGACGGGAACTCGTCTTGGCAGCTAAGCAACTAGTGCTACTTTACACGAAGAATCAGCACCTGCCCGGCCCATCGAAACTACAGCCACGATTTTGTGGGCCTTTCAAGATCATCAAGATGGTGATACTTGTCACCGCGAAGCTGCTGGTACCCGACGATTGGCGTATACATGATGCCTTCCATGTCAGCCTCCTTCGCAAGTTCGTACCTACCACGACAGACACCGCGCGCTTGAACGCCGCCCCGACAGCCCGACCTGTCCCAAAACCGACGCTTGACCCGTCCAAGATCTTGGCGCATCGTGTTCGGCTCGACGCTTCTGGACGCCACGTGGATATTTTAATCCGCTGGACTGACCGCACCAGTGAGGACGACACTTGGGTGCCATCCGCCTCGCTTGAAGCTTCTCCGCTTCTTGGTGATTACCTCGCCCGCAGGCGAGCTGCGGATATTGACCACCTTTCTTAATGGGGGGGGGGGGGGGGGTAGTGTTAAGAAAAACCCTTGTCCTTACAGGGGTTTACTCAACCGCGTACAACCCCAACTTTCGGAAGTGCACGTTCGGCCACTTTGCTTGCTGCCGAAGCAACCTCGCGTCGCCCTCGGCCTTTCCTTTGCCCAACCTGCACCCAACCTCGTATTCCCGAGGTTCCTGCCTAGCTAGGTTGACCCACTATATTAGTGCATGCCTTCATTGTATTGTGAATTGATTGAGTCACATCTTAGTTCTTCTTTATCCCGCGCACTCTCTTTTACAACTCATAACAAGCTGTCGCTTAAGGCATGACACCCCATCGCCTATCACAAATGCGGTTCTGTACAACAAGCAGCATCCAAGCGGAACAGAGCTCGAAATTATTTCTGCGTCCTCCGCAATCAGACCCCAGCCTCAGGCAGGCACTCCGCCACTCAACTTCCCCCCCCTCCTCTCCTTCCCCCTCCTGCCTCACAAAAGTGGGGGATCTGAGGGGATTTGCGCGAGAGTCTCAAGGTCCCGCTGCTCGAGTACGGCGGGGAGCGGGAAAGGAAACCTCGAGAGAGTATCGAAAAGCTTGGGGGAAGCGCGGGACGGGTGTGGGGGGAGGACTTTCCGCCATCCGAGTTCCAGAATCCAGTCAACTTGCAGGAAGGCATAAAGCAGCAGGAGAGGCCGTTTCGCCCAAGTTTTTTAGGTTGCAGAAATTTACTTTCAGTCTCAATTAGGAGGTTTATGACCAGGTCCGACTGGTCGTGTCGGTTCGGACCCGTCGTTAATCATTAGTTTCATCAGTTTATTCACCGCTTGAGTGCATGGCGAATTTCCGTTCCGTTTGTACCAATAAGAGACAGCAGCGCATCCGCTTCAGCTCGTTATGTTCAACTCAATGCTTTCCATTTGAGCTCTGGTACTAAGTCTTCAGCCAAAGGCACTTTGCAGTCGCATTTTCAGACATAGAACCAACCAATAACGATTCAATATATCCATCAGGGCTGGAGCTGTCAGTCACCTTAGAATCTTTTCATCCGAACTCAACCTATCAGTCAGCGTAGAATCTGTCAATTACCAGCCATGGCGAGCGCAGCTTTGTTTCCGTCGCTCGCAGCGGCGTCGCGAGAGCCTCCAGAAGTCGCACTGAACAGAGTGCGGGAGCTGGTGCTGCAGATCGTGGCTGGCGGGAACCATCCCGAGACGAGCCTTTTGCATCAGCTCGCTGCGATCATTGAGGATGAGGAACAGTGGTGAGATTTTTACCCTATTTCTTTCTCTCTATCTCTTTCTCTCGCTCCCTTCCAGGATTATCTTCATTGTTGGTTCCGATTTGCAGTTTTCCGTCCCTCTCCTTCCGTTATCGCTTATAATTCATGATCTGTTGCCGTTCATTCATCAGAGTTACTCCTCTCTGGTAGTTTTGTCCATTGAATCAGGCAGGGATTCGCTGATCGGCATGTGCCTCTCTTCGTTCCAACTGCCTTTATCCGTACTCCTGATATTTGTTTTGTTCCTCAGGTACCAGCAACAAGCGGGTTTCTCCTCGTCTAATCTCCGAGCGTCGTACACTATTGGACGAATTGTCAACTCACTGCGTGTACGTTGATCGCCCCCAGGCACGCGTCGTACCTTTCTATCGAAATTACTCCACTCATTTTTCATTCATTCCCTGGCAAATTGACTGTTGATCTTCACCTGTGTACCTCCCTTCAATAACTGTCGTGTTCAACCTCGTGTAAACAATTTATAGAAGTTCCATCTGCCCCTAATAGCGCATATGTCGAATGTTTGTAACAAACATCTCCAGTCCTCTCATTCCTCCGTTGTTTCCGCCAGGAGGACGGCGATCTGTACGAGCTTGCGTTTGTGTCAACTTAATACCCCCTACTTAGCAATCCCCTGACCCACATCCCCCCACACCCCCACTGCTCCCGCCAGGAGGACGACGACTTGTACGAGCTGCTCACGTCGAAGCTGCTACTCCAGTCGTGGCGGTCGCAGGAGGAGCGAGCAGCGGGCGCTCGCCTGCTGCTCGCCTGTGCGATGAGCTTCGTGGTGAGTCTTTGGGTGTTCAATCCGCGTGGAGAGTCCTTGCCTTTGGGTTTCTGAGCTAGTCATTGCCTGGGCCGCCGTCCCTACTCGCCCAGCTCTTTAAGAACTGCGTTTCTGCATGCTTTTTAGCTCAATTGCTCCTCGGATTTCCTCACACTTTTCCTCCCCTTCCGCCATCCCCCCACCCAAACCAAATACATTGGGTTTACATCACACAGTACCGTGGGGTTTTCGAGGAGGGTATTCTAGAGCGAGTCATTGCGTGGGCCGCCCTCTCCACTCGCACCGCCCAACTCCCTGCCCTTGCCACCGCCACAGCCGCTGCCGCCGCTTCAGCTGGCGCTGCTGGTGGCGCCGGTGGCACGCAGGAGGAGGAGGAGGAGGAAGAAGAGGAGGAGGACGCTGGGGAGGAGGGTCAGGGGGGGGATCGTGGCGGAGCGGGAGGAGCTGGTGCTGGTGGTGTTGTTGCGGCTGGTGCTGCTGCAGCTGCGGGTGGGGGTGTTGGCGTGGGTGGTGCTGGTGGTGGTGGTGTGGGTGCGAGGGCGAGAGCATCAGCTGTTCTGGCGACGGACATGCTGAGAACGTTCTCCACCGGACTCGTTGCTGTTGCACTCAGCTCGTGAGTAGCACGCTTGCCTCGTCGTCATGCCTTACCCTGTTCTTCTTCCCATCTTTATCCACAAATCTGTCAGCTAGAGCGGCAAAGAGGCGGCAGTGGAGCAGGCAATGTGCACAGGCCTCGTGCAGCACTGTGACCGTTCAAACCGCGTATTCCTTAGTTTCTGCCTCCATACTCTCCCCCAACTCCCAACCCCCAAACCCCCTCCATTCCCCTGTCAGCAACGAGGCGGCGGTGGAGCAGGTGGTGCGCACAGGCCTCGTGCAGCACCTCGCCCGCCTTCTGCGCAAGCGAGTGCTGGGGCGCGCTGCTGCGCCCGCTGCAGGGGGGGCGCAGGGGGGAGCGGGAGGACCAGCAGGAGCTGGAACAGGGGGGGTAGGAGGAGGGGGAGGAGTAGGAGCGGGGACGGGGGTTGTGGGAACACCTGGGAGCAGAGGGAGCAAGCTGCGTAGTGTGAGTAGCAGGGGGGAGAGTAGCGCTGCTGCTACCACTGCTGCTGCTGCTGCCGCTGCAGCTCAAATTGCTGGATTAGCAGAGGAGGCGAGAGCAGCAGCATTAGGGGTCGCGGAGTCGAGAGCAGCAGAGGAGAAGGGGAAGACAGAGGCTATAGGTGAGGGGATGGGGAGCGGAAACGCCTCAGCACATGCGGATGTGATAATGACAGCCCCTGCAAAAGCTGCACCCAACCCCCTTTCCCCGTTAGGAAAGCTGAAAGACTCAGGAGGGGGAGGAATGGCAGTGGAAGGGGGGAGAGAGGAGCTAGGAAGTAGGGGTCGAGGGGGAGGAGGCGGTAGGAAAGCCATGCTGAAAGGGAGCAAAGCAGAGCAGGGCGCAGGGAAGGGCAAGCATGCTTCCGCCTCTGGAATTGGTGGGGCCGAGGTTGAGGGATCAGGGTTCGGGGGTTCAGGGGCTGGAGGTTCTGGGGGTGCAGGGGTTCCGGGGGGTTCTGGGGTTAAGGGTTCTGCCCTTGAGAATTTACTCCCTCCTCCGAAAGCTGTTAAGGTTGGGGCTGTGGATATCACTGAAGCAGTTGCAGTGGCGTGGGAGGCGGCGAGAAGGGAAGCAGAGGCGGCTAATGCTCCAGCTGACGTGGTGGCTGCTGCAGTGGAGGCAGCAGCAGAGTCGGTCAGGCAGGCTGCTGCTGACGCGTTGGAGGGGGGAGGAGGAGACGAAGCTGTTGCTGCTGCTGCTAGGAGCGCTGCTGATGCTGTGAGACAGGCTGCGCAAGCGGTGAGCGGGGCAGGGAGTGGGGCAGGAAGTGGGGCAGGGAGTGGAAGCAAGGGCACGGCTCCAGATGCTCCAGGTGCCTCAATCCCACCAGCTGCTGCAGCTGCAGCAGCAGACGCAGCATCAGGAGAAGAATCAGGTATAGCAGCCAGCGCAGCAGAGCAGGTTCCACAGCCCACCACCCCAGCACCATCACAGGACCCCGCCTCTGCACCATCCACATCCCACGCCACGCCCACCAACCCCACCACCCCCACCAACCCCACCGCCCCCACCGCTCCCTCCTCCGTTCCATCCGCTGTTCCAGCTGTTCCCACTCGCCCTGTATGGCAGCTGACTCGGCCGCAGCTGGCGCAGCTAAGGGAGTGGTATGCGGTGCAGACGCTGGCCGCACTGGGCGAGTACATGGAGGTGCTGGGTCCCGTGCTGCACGAGAAAGGGGTAGATGTCTGCCTTGCTCTGCTCAGACGCGCCACTCCTGGACCTCCAGGGGCCGAGGGGTCTGCTGCGGCTGCTGCTCCTGGTGTGGCCGGTACAGGTGGCAGTGCTTCTGCTGCCGCTGCTCCTGGCACAGGGGATTCCACAGCAGGTGCAGCTGCAGCGGCAGGAACAGCAGCAGCAGCAGCAGCCTGTGGGCCGATGAGTGTGCTGCTGCTGGCGGACGTGTTGAAGCTGGTGTGTGCGCTCACAGCACACCGCAAGTTTGCCACTCTCTTTGTGGACCGCGGGGGCGTGCAGCTGCTCCTCTCCCTCCCCCGCGTGCCCCACACCCTTCCCGGCCTCGCTGTCGCCTTCTTTGCTCTTGCCTCGATCCAGGTAACCACCTGATACCCCCTTCCCTTACTGTTCCTTGTTCGGACCTCCTTTTCCTCTCCCTCCCCTGCGAGCCTCCCCACACCCTCCTGAACCTCACTGTTGACCGGTTCACACCTGGTTCGCCCTTTCCTCAAGTAGTTGTTCAGGAGATATCTCCTCCTCCCTGCCCTCCCGCCCTCCTGCCCTCCCGCCCTCCCTGCCCTCCCCACCTCCCTGCCCTCCCTGCCCTCCCGCCCTCCCCACCTCCCTGCTCTCCGCCCTCGCTTCTACCCAGAGTATCATAGAGTGTGATCCCTCCCAATCTCCTCCCTTTCCCTCCCCCCCAGAGTGTCATGGAGCGTGTAGCCTCCCTTCCCCAGCCAGTCATCCGCTCACTCATCTCCGCCACTCTTCACCTGCTGCCATTACCCTTCTCCCCCTTGTTCCCTCTCCCCTCCATCCCTCCCCCCTTCCGTTTTAGAGTGTCATGGAGCGAGAAGCGTCCCTTCCCCAGCCAGTCATCCGCTCGCTCATCTCAGCATCGCTCCACCTGCTGCTGTGCCCACTCGCGAGGTGACTTTTGAGTCGACTCAAAAGTCTCCACCTGCTGCTGTGCCCGCTGGACCACGCGCGGCGCAACACGGCGCTCTTCTTTGCCGCCTCCCTCGCCTTCCCCCTCCTTGGTAGCCTTTTCATTTCAAACTCTCTCCACCTGCTCCTCTCCCCCTTCTCCCCTTCTCTCCCTCCGCCCTCTCTTCCCAACCCCTCCCCCTCCCCCGTCCAGAGTGTGATGGAACGTGTAGCTTCCCTCCCCCAGCCAGTCATCCGCTCGCTCATCTCAGCAGCGCTCCACCTGCTGCTGTGCCCACTGGACCACGCGCGGCGCAACACGGCGCTCTTCTTTGCCGCCTCCCTCGCCTTCCCTCGCCTCCTCCTCGAATTCGACGCCCAGGGGGGCCTCCCCGCCCTCATTGCTCTGTTGAGAAATGCTGCTCAGTTAAGGTCCGGGGGCGGTGGGGGAGGGGCGCTGGGCGTGGGCGCGGGGGCAGGGGGAGTGGGGGGGGGAAGAGGGGGAGGAGCAGGAGTGGGAGCAGGAGGGGCAGTGGGAGCAGCGGTGGAAGGAAGGGCTGAAGCGGGGGAGGTTGGGTTGGGAAGAGGGGTTACGAGAGGACGAGGGGTAGGAGGGTTAGACGAGGGTGGAAATTTGGGGGGAGGCTTGGGGTTGCCATTGCCTCTCGGTGGGGGCATGCATTTTGCTGCTGGGACTGAACCAGGCTCTGATTCTCCAGGCGGGTCAGCACGTGGGGCAGGAGCAGGAGCAGGAGGAGGAGCAGGGGCAGGAGGAGGAGGAGGAGGAGCAGGGGCAGGTGTAGGAGGAGCAGGAGCAGCCGCAACAGCCTTGTTAGGTCCTGGCGGCAGTAGCAGTGGAACTGGCGGCGGCAACGGCACCGGCAGCAGCACGATGACATGGGAGGTGTTGACGCCAGCAGGCAGGCAGGTGGCTCACAACACGTGCATTGCCCTCCGCCAGTACATGAGAGTGCACCTCGTGCTGCATCTTGAGTCCCTGCACCACGCTTCTGGTACCTCCTCCTCCAGTGCCTTCTCTGGCGGTCCTTCCAGTGCGCCCTCTGGAGCTCCCTCCTCCGCGCTCTCCTCCCGCCACCGCACCCACCGCCCCACTGCTCCTCCTGCCGCTGCTGCTTCCTCCCCTGCCCCTCCTGCCACTGCTGCTTCTGCTGCTGCTTCTGCAGCTGCTCCTGCTGCTTCTGAAGCCCCTCACAAGCCGTCGCACCACACGCGGAGTCTCACGAGAGCAGTGGATTCGAGTGCACAGGCGGTGGAGGGGTTGATGGAGGCGCTGATGGTGTCGGACCGGCGCCTGGCGCACGCGTTTGTGCGCTCGCGATGGGGCGCTGCTGAAAGGCTCGTGGAGGAGGGGGCAGTGGATGTTCTGCTGGAGCTCTGCCAGGTGCGTGGGAGCACAAGCACCAGGTGGGTCCGACCAGTGTGCAGGGCTTTGTGTGTGTCTAGGTTTTCACACGTTTGTGCGCTCGCGGTGGGGCGCTGCTGAGAGGCTCGTGGAGGAGGGCGCTGTAGACGTGCTGCTGGAGCTCTGCCAGGTGGGTGCGCATGTCTGGGGTCTTTGGGTCTAATGGTAGGCTGGATGGAGAAGGCTGGGGCGGGTCTAGGATTCAGGGGTTTGTGCGCTCGCGGTGGGGCGCTGCTGAAAGGCTCGTGGAGGAGGGCGCTGTAGACGTGCTGCTGGAGCTCTGCCAGGTGGGTGTGGTTACCAGGTGGGTTTGTTTAGGGTGCGGGGCGGGGTTTTGTGTGTGGCTAAGGCTAGGGATTGGACTCAAAAGTCACCTCAGAGCACGCCCTGAGAGTGCTGCACGTGCTCACCCTCGCGCCCTTCACCCACCGCCACGTGTGCTCCCCTCTCTCTCCCGAATCCTAAACCCTTTTTTCTCTACAGATTCCCCCAGGGGAGCGCAGCAAGGGGGAGTTGGCAGAGCACGCCCTGGGGGTGCTCCACGTGCTCACCCTCGCGCCCTTCATGCACCGCCACGTGTGCTCCCCTCTCTCGCCTGAATCCTAAACCCATTTTCTCCACAGATCCCTCCAGGGAAGCGCAGCACAGGGGAGCTAGCAGAGCACGCCCTGGGCGTCCTCCACGTGCTCACCCTGGCGCCCTTCACGCGCCGCCACCTTAAAGCTCGAACCCCAATCCCTACCCCCTCTCTCTGCAGATTCCCCCAGGAGAGCGAAGCACGGGGGAGCTAGCAGAGCACGCCCTGGGCGTCCTCCACGTGCTCACCCTCGCGCCCTTCACGCACCGCCACGTGCTCTCCGCGCGAGTGGCCTCGCACCGCTGCGGCATGCCCGTGCTGCTCGACGCTGCCAGCGGGGCTCTGCTGGCCGATCCCGAGGTCATGCAGATCGCGCTGCTGGTGGTCGTGAATCTCGTCTGCCCGTTTCCAACGTACTGCTCTGTCGTGAACAGCCGCAGTGCGGCTCATGCTGCTGCTGGTGGCACTGCTGGTGCCGGTGCTGGTGGTGCGAGTGGTGGTGCTGTTGCTGGTGGTGCGACTGGTGCTGGTGCTGCTATTGCTACTCCGAGTTCAAGCCGTGCACTGCCACGCATCACTCAAGGGACTGAGACAGGGCCGCAACAGCAGCAGCAGCAGCAGCAGCAGCAGCAGCAGGACACATTTTCTACTCCTGTGCGTGCAACCCCAGCAGCAGCACAACCAGCAGCACCAGCAGCACCAGCAGCAGCAGCAGCAACACCCGCAACACCAGCGACAGCAACACCAGGAACGCCAGCAGTACCTGCAGCCGCCACAGCACCGCCCTTAACCCCTCAGGACCGCAGGATGCAGCCCCTGGGACTAGGCCTGGGCGCGACAGGGCTAGCAGCGTACATGGAGCAGGGATACAAGCAAGCTAGAGACGCTCTTAGAGCCAGCAATGGCATAAGGGTGCTCCTACAGCTGCTGCACTGCAAACCCCCCCTCCCTCCCCCTTCCGCGGATTGTATCAGGGCTCTAGCTTGCCGGGTGTTGTTGGGGTTGGCTAGGGATCCCGCCCTGACGCATATTCTGACGAAGCTGCAGCTCGGGCGGCAGCTTTCGGATCTTCTGCGGGACGTGTCGGCTGGGTTGCCATCTGCGTCGGTGCAGCATCAGCAGCACCACCACCGCCATCATCAGCAGCAGCCGAATCAGCAGCAGCAGAATCGTCAGCAGCATCATCATCGGGGGTCGAGTGGCATGGGGTTGCAGGCTCTGCATGCCCGGTGGTTGCATGAGTTCCAACAGTCAGCTCTTGAACTTATCTCGGTAAGTTATTCACCCATTGCAGCAAGGCATTCATTCAGCATGATCACCACCACCACCACCACCACCACCACCACCACGGAGGGTCGAGTGGCATGGGGTTGCAGGCTCTGCATGCGCGGTGGCTGCATGAGTTTCAACAGTCAGCTCTTGAACTTATCTCGGTAAGTTATTCACCCATTGCAGCATGGCATGCATTCAGCATGATCACCACCACCACCACGGAGGGTCGAGTGGCATGGGGTTGCAGGCTCTGCATGCGCGGTGGCTGCATGAGTTCCAACAGTCGGCTTTTGAACTCATCTCGGTAAGTTTGCACCCGTCGCACCGCCTCGTGCATTCAGTCTCCCAACTGTGTGCTCTGGAAAATGGTTATCATTGTGGAAAATGGTTATCACTGTGGAAAAACGTCCCCGCTTCTCGCTCTCTGCCTTCACCTCTCTGTATCTCCTCGTCCTTCCTTTCGTGCCCCCCCCCTCTGCAGCTCACCACGAGTGCAGGCAAGGCCACAACAGCAGCAGCCACAGGTGCATGCACATTCCCTTCCTCCCTCCTTTCCTTCATCTTCCCTTCCTCTCTCCTCTCCTTTCCTTCCGTGCGTCCCCTACTGCAGCTCACCACGAGTGCAGGCAAGGCGACAACAGCAGCAGCCACAGAAGCAACGGCGCCGACACTCAAGAGGCTGGAGCGAGCTGCCATTGCTGCTGCCACTCCCATCAGCTACCCCCCCAGGTAAGATAGGGCTAACCCAGGTCAACCTTGGTCAATTCTGGTCAACCCTGGTTCAGATGGTAGTAACGACAATGGCAGCAACGATTTTTAAACGTATTCTCAATGAAATTTCAATTAAAAAAAAAAAAAAAATGCAGGTCAGTCATGCTGAGGTCTTATATTCTTCTTGCTGTCTCCTACGTATCAGCTGGCCTTTATTTATTCAACCTTTAATCTTTCTCTTTATCCCTCTGCATCTCATCCCCTTTACAGTGAGCTCCTTCAACTGATACACGCCCATCTAGTATCAGAAGGCCTACACCAGTCAGCAAGCCAGCTGCTAGCAGAATCAAGCATCACCCCTCTCGTCGCCACCCCCGTTCCCTCCTCCTCTCCTGCCACCGTTCCTCCCTCTGCCGCCCTTCCCTGCTCTCTTGCTCCCTCGGAGACTTCCCCCAATCGCCACCCCCCCCACGCTCTCCCGCCGCCTCCCGCTCCTCCGCTTCCTCCGTCCGCCTCTGCTGCACCAGCTGCAACGTCAGCAGCAGCGCCAGCTGGCAATGCCGGACTCGCTGCTGAGGCAGCAGGGGGGCTTAGCTGGCCTAAGGGCAAAGCCGGATGGTTCTTCTCTGCTGGAAGAAAGGGTGAGGGGAGAGGGGAGAAGGGGGAACGAGGGGGGAGGGGAGGGAGGGGAGGAAGAGGGGGAAGGGGGGATGAGGCTGGGGGGGGAGGGGAGAAGGGAGCGGGGAGGGGAGAGAGGAGTGCAGTTCGGCAGAGAGCGGTGGGAATGGATGCAAGTGGGGCGAGTGGGAGTGGAGTTGGTGTGGAGGAGGAGGGTCAGATAAGGAGGCGAATAGTATTGGGAAGTTCACTTGCAGAGAGGGCGAGAGGGAAAGGGGAGGGCAAGGGGGCAGAGAGCGAGCAGGAGGAGCAGAAAGGGGCAGAAGATGCAACATTGAGCAAAGAAGGAATGAGGGGTGGGGGTTTGACCAGTGGCGGCAGCAGCAGCAGTGGGGAGAGGGAAAGCACACCTGGAAGGGAGCAGGTAGCACGGCGTTTATCCGGGAGGAAGCGAGGGTACAAGGAAGCTTCTGCGTCTGCGTCTGCAGCAGCGCTGCTTGTCTCTCCTCCTGCCAAACGAGCCTCCACGCTTCTCCCTCCTCTCCTCTCCCCTAATCCTTCCCTGCCGCTGCAAAGTGGTGCTGGCTCTGCAATAGCTTCTGCAGGAGCAGGGGCAGGGGCAGGGGCAATGGCAGGGTTAGGTACCGGTGATGCTGCTGATGCGGGTGCTGCTGCTGTTTCTGGCGCTGGTGTTGGTACTGGTGGGGATGGTTCCGGTGGTGGTTCTTCTCCTGCGGCTGCTGTTTCATCTGGTGAAGCACCTGCAGGGTCTGCTGTATTAGAGGAGCCTGTTCCGTGTTCGGGTGGGGGTTCAGGTGGAACCTCAGGTGGGACCTCAGGTGGGGCCTCAGGTGGGGCCTCAGGTGCAGCAGAGGACAGGTTGGGCCAGGCGCTAGCAGCCCCTGCACCAGCATCAGCACCAGCAGCAACCGTCCCGACCCCACCCACAGCAGCACCACCTCCCTCAGTTCTACCTACCCCAGGAGAGCTCAGCACAACTCTGGACGGAATCGTTACCTCATATCTGAAGCAGCAGCACAGGCAGTGCCCGGCCCCCATCACCACCCTCCCCCCCCTCTCCCTCCTCCACCCCCACACCTGCCCCGAGCCTCTCCGCTCCCTAGACGCCCCCTACAGTATCACCCGTCGCCTCGCCGCCCGGCAACGCCGCCCGCCTGCGGGCGGGTGGCAGGGGCGGCGGCTGGATCGGCAGCTAGTGTTCAGCCGGTTCCGCCCGTGGAGAACTTGCCGGGAAGATGCGGTTATGATTACCAGTGCGTGTTTCCTGCTGGGGGCGGGAGGGGCGGGTGGGGGCGGCGGTGTGTGGGGTTTCGGCGGGGGGGGCGCCGGGGGCGTTGGGGGATTCGGCGGGGGGAGGCGATGCTTAGCAGTGGGCACGACTGCAGGGGAGATTAAACTGTTTGACGCGGAAGGGGGTGTGGTTGTGGATAGCTACTCGTGCCACCAGTCGTCGATTGTTTCGGTGTTCTCGGCACCGAGACCGGGGTATGATGATGATGACAGGGGATTTGTGGGTCGCGGGCGGGGGAGACAGCAGGAGGAGGAGTTGCAAGGCAATGCATTGGCAGCAGGAGGAGGGGTAAGAGCAGGCGGAGGAGCAGCAGGAGGAGCAGGAGCAGGGGGAGCAGGAGCAGGGGGAGCAGGAGGAGCAGGGTCATCAGCAGCATCGGCAGCATACGGAGCAGCGTCCTGCCTCCTCCTCTCCTCAACCCGTACAGAAGTCAAGCTCTGGGATGCTGCAGACCTCTCTCTCGGTCCCATCCACACCTTCCCCTCCTGCCGCCTTGGCCGTTTCAGCCACTCCGCTCGCACCATCGGTGCAGTGCGGTGCGACGGGCAGTCGAGGGAGTCGAGAGAGGTGCTTCTGTATGACGTGGCGACGGGCAGGCTGCAAGAGACGCTCAGAGAAGCGCCCATTGCTGCTGCTGACTCGTATGCTTCTGGCGCTGCTGCTGGTGGGGCTGCTAACGCTGCTGGGGTGGTTGGTTGGGGGGGTGTGGGCGGTGGGGTGGCTGGTGGGGGTCTGGGAGGCGGCCGCGGTGGGAATGGTGGCTTCGGTGGTCTATTTGGTGGTTACGGCGGTTACGGTGGGTTTGGAGGGTTTGGGATTGGGCTTGCTGGCGCTGCTGGTGCTGCCGGTGCTGCTGCAGCTGGTATTGGCGGCGGTGGTGCTGCAATGATGGGTGGAGGAGGAGGGGGGGCAGGGGTGAATAGGTCGTTGGGGTCCCAGGGCGTTCATTTCTCCCCGCTGGACGATCTGCTGCTGTGGAAAGGGTTCCTGTGGGACACACGCATCAGTGAGCCTGTGCATCGCTTCGACCAGTTCTCCGACTATGGAGGAGGGGGCTTCCACCCTTCAGGCAACGAGGTGAGTGGATCAAGGATTGTGAATCTTTAGAGCACGTAGAACAAATTTCAAAAAGTGCATATCTCCCCGCTGGACGATCTGTTTCTGTGGAAGGGGTTCCTGTGGGACCCGCGCATCACTGAGCCTGTTTTTGAGTCGACTCGAAAACCGACTCATCACACGAAGGGGTTCCTGTGGGACCCGTGCATCACTGAGCCTGTTTTTGAGTCGACTCAAAAACCGACTCATCACACGAAGGGGTTCCTGTGGGACCCGCGCATCACTGAGCCTGTTTTTGAGTCGACTCAAAAACCGACTCATCACACGAAGGGGTTCCTGTGGGACCCGCGCATCACTGAGCCTGTTTTTGAGTCGACTCAAAAACCGACTCATCACAGGAAGGGGTTCCTGTGGGACCCGCGCATCACTGAGCCTGTTTTTGAGTCGACTCAAAAACCGACTCATCACACGAAGGGGTTCCTGTGGGACCCGCGCATCACTGAGCCTGTTTTTGAGTCGACTCAAAAACTGACTCATCACACGAAGGGGTTCCTGTGGGACCCGCGCATCACTGAGCCTGTTCACTGCTTCGACCAGTTCCCGAATTATGGAGGAGGGGGCTTCCACCCGTCCGGAAATGAGGTGAGCTGATTATTCAGAGTATCGGCAACGAGTCAATTGGGGTTGCTGCACATTGCTGCACCTAGAAGTGAGCAGTGAGCAGTGAGCGCCCTTCCTTGACTCTCCTCCACCCCATCCATCTCCTCCCCCGTTCTCACCTTCCTGATCCTCCCTCCATCAGGTAATCATCAACTCAGAAGTCTGGGACCTGCGAACACGGAAGCTTCTGCGCAGCGTCCCGTCCCTCGACCAGACCTCCATAACATTCAACGCCACGGGGGAAGTCATCTACGCGACTCTCCGCCGCACCACCGACGACCTTCTAGCCGCCCTGCACGGGCGCCGGCGCAAGCACCCGCTCTTCTCGGCGTTCAAGACCATCGACGCGACTTCGTACACTGACATCGCAACCGTTAATGTCGAGCGATGCGTGCTTGATCTGGCCGTTGAACCCACGGACGGGTATGTGGCAGCGGTGGTGGTAGATGAGCATGGGGAATCGGATTCTGTTGCAAGACTGTTTGAGGTTGGGCGGCAGCGGGTGGTGGAGGAGTTGGGGGATTACGACGTGGAGGATGAGGGGGAGATGGAGGATGAGGGGGATGAAGGGGAGGAGGAAGAGGATGAGGATCAGGAGGAGTTGGATAGTATAGAGGAGGAGCTTTTTGGAGGGTTTTCAGAGGATTTGGATGAGGAGGAGGATGAGGATGGGTTTGGGCAGCCGAGGGTTAGGGCTGTGAGGGGTGGTGGGCGTGGGGGGTTGATGAATGGGGAAGTGGAGGAGGGGGAGTACCTGGGGAGTGATTCGGAGGACGATGAGGAGGCGGCACAGGAGCTCATGGATTTGATAATGGAGGGACCGTCGGATGAGGATCCGGATAGTTTTAGCGATGAGGATGATGATGATGATGACGACGATGACACAGATGAGGGCGACGATGAAGACTTAGATTTTGATGATGAAGACTGGGATTCGGAGGATTCGGGCCCAGACGAATAGGTTCTTAGACGTTTTTCTGTGGGGGTCATCTGTAATCTACTGCAGTTTATGAAGCCAAGAAAGGGGTGTTAGGTTGTTTTTCTAAAGAATGTGGTTTGTTCTTAATCATTAGTCGAAATGTTTTCCTTCTCATTGTGTAACACTTTCACTCCATGGGTTGCTGGTTCATTGTCAGACCGAAATCCAGAGCGCGCATGCTGGTGTTCTGCACTGCTCCCTGAGTACGCGGCTCGGCAGCAACACATTCGGCGAGTGGCGTAAACGCAGCTTATGGTTATCTCGGCCAATCAACGCCCCGACTCAGCAAAAAGCTTGGATGACGCGGAAAGATCAAGGTTCGTAAGTGGCCAAAGCTCATGTGTCGCCACAACGCCTGGAAACTTGGCGAAACCCAGCGAATCGGGCCTACTTTATCGCCGGTATTGTTGTCTTTTTGCTGAGTTGGCATTGGCTTCAGTGGCTGTGTGGGCCGCATTCGCCGCTGGGCAGTTCACCTGAACGAATCCACGGCTCGTGGCAAGGCCGTCCCGCAGTCGAGCGGTCCGATTGGGCCAGATCCCTCCAGGATGCTTCCCACCAACTTTTTCTGCCACCACCATCCACGCGAAAATTCCCTCAGAGGTCACGACGAATGGATGCCTTCGCTCATATCCACGCTGTCACGAGCTTGCTGAATTCGTAACCGTACCTGAAGCTTCGCGAATACCTTGGCACGTTTTCCCCAACCAACCACCCAGGCGAGCTTCTTCCGCGTCGCGACAGAGAGGGAATCCCTGAGCATTCGCGTCTCGGTTCGGTTCGGCATCCGTAACTTCGAGTCCAAGTAGCCGCCAGCTCACCCGCAGCAGCACCCCAATTGGTTAGTGTCTTGAGCCATGGGAACAACCAGATGCCAGACCTATCTCACTGTCCCTGCCGAATCGGTTTGGGCCACCTCTTACCACACCAGCTGGTTCGGTTTGTTCATTCCTACTTCGTCCCTCCTCTTCCCCTATCTCTGAATCCCTTTCCTGCGATAGCCGTTCACGCATGGCTTCCACCCCGAATTCGGATCACCCCACCCACCTAGTGTAATTCTCCCCTCCTTGTGTGGCGCAACCAAGCATAAACAGAACGGTTCTGCCATTCATTCCTACTTACAGGTGATAAATGTTCCGCAACGACCTTCAGACTAGTGACCGAAGGATTGAGCTGACTTAGATACAACAGCATTTTTCGAAAAGGGACCACAGGTAGATTCTACTAACTCACGTCCGTTGTCCAATTTTCCTTTTCGAAACACTCTACCCGTCGCTTTAGAATCGGACAATGGCGCCGGCTGACGGATCCCCCGCTGCCGATCCGGCTGTGAAGCCCTCCACATCTTCGGCAGACAAAGCAATCCCCACAAACGGCAGCGCGAATAACGGCAACGGGCGCGCGATGGCATCCGCAACTCCCGCCGCGACGTACGTCGGCTCGCTCTGCCAGCTCTCCGCGCCGCTACCGACAAAAGTCGCGCTGGTCAACGCGGATCAGCTGGCGGAATCCCCGGAGGAGGAGGCGGAATGCGAGACCATGGAGCAAGCCGTGCTCTCCGCGCTCGACGCGCTTCCGAAGGACATCGACCGTTACATGTACCTCCGCGCGACGCGCGAGGCGGACGAGGAGTTATTCTTCCGCCTACTAATGGACCATACTGAAGAGGTTCTTCCGTACATTTACACCCCAACGGTCGGGGAGGCATGCCAACGTTACCACGAGCTCGGGATCATTCCTAATGGTATCTACCTCACGGCGGCGGATAAGGGTCACTTTCTGGAGCGCCTCCGCGCCGCATGCCCGCACAGCGGCATTCGCGCGATCGTGGTGACGGACGGAGAGAGGATCTTGGGCCTCGGGGACCAGGGCGCGGGGGGGATGGGGATCAGCGAGGGTAAGATCCTGCTTTACACCGCGATGGCGGGGTTAGATCCGCGCCGCGCCCTGCCGGTGATGCTGGATGTGGGGACTAATAACGAGAAGCTTCTAGCGGATCCGGCGTACAAGGGCTTGCGGCAGCGGCGGCTGCGCGGTCCGGAGTACGATGAACTCGTCGACGAGTTGATGACCGCGGCGCGCACGTTGAAGCCGCACGTGCTGCTGCAATTCGAGGATTTCGGCAACTGCAACGCGTTTCGGCTGCTGGAGCGCTACCAGCACACGCAATGCTGCTTCAACGACGATATCCAGGGCACGGCGTGCATCACGCTCGCGGGGCTGCTGTCCGCGCTCCGCGTTACCGGGCGGCCACTGGAGGAGCAGCGGATTCTGTTCCTCGGCGCGGGGGAGGCGGGGACCGGGATCGCGCAGCTGATCGCGCAGGCGATGAATCGACGGTGCGGAATGGATCTCGACGCGGCGCGGCAGCGGTGCTTGTTTATCGACTCCAAAGGCCTCGTGTGCAAGGAGCGCGAGTTGAAAGGAGAGCTGCAGGATCATAAGATCCCGTTCGCGCACGATCTGCCGTACCAGCCGGATTTAATCTCGGCCGTCCATGAGTTTCGACCGACGGTGCTGATCGGCGTGTCGGCGCAGGCGAACGCGTTTTCCAAGGAGGTGGTTGAAGCGATGGGCGTTTATAACGAGCGGCCCGTCATCTTCCCGCTCTCGAACCCCACGTCCAAGGCCGAGTGTTCTTATAAAGAGGCGTTCAAATACACGGGCGGGCGCGTGGTGTTCGCGAGCGGAAGCCCGTTTCCGCCGCTCGTGGCGGAATCGGCGGAGCCGGGCGGCGGGAAGGTGACGATGTACCCCGCGCAGGCTAATAACGCGTACGTGTTCGGGCCGATCGGCATGGCGGCGCTCTTAACGAGGTGCAGCAGCATCACGGACGACGTGTTCCTGTCGACCGCGGAATTTCTGGCGCAACTCACGCCGCAGGCGCACCTGGACCGCGGAATGCTCTTCCCCTCGCTCTCCGCCATGAAGGTAAGAACGCGCCGCTCACCTTTATCACGAACAAGGATAAGAACTCATCGCTTATAACAGTAAACACTTCTTGTGCCCACATGAGTTACACATGAGTTACACATGAGTTACACATGAGTTACACATGAGTTACACATGAGTTACACATGAGTTACACATGAGTTACACATGAGTTACACATGAGTTACACATGAGTTACACATGAGTTACACATGAGTTACACATGAGTTACACATGAGTTACACATGAGTTACACATGAGTTACACATGAGTTACACATGAGTTACACATGAGTTACACATGAGTTACACATGAGTTACACATGAGTTACACATGAGTTACACATGAGTTACACATGAGTTACACATGAGTTACACATGAGTTACACATGAGTTACACATGAGTTACACATGAGTTACACATGAGTTACACATGAGTTACACATGAGTTACACATGAGTTACAGCTCACACTCACAATCTTCACCCCGGCTCTCCCCCCCCTCCGCGCCCTTCCCCTTGGTCCTTCCTTCCGCCAGGCGCTCGTGCCGCTGCTTATAGCGCGTATATCCGAGTTCATGGTGGCGGAGGGGCTGGGCACCCCACCGCCCGCGGTGGGCGCGGGGACTGTGGCGGAGTGGGAGCGCCACGCGCGCGCGAGCATGTACCACCCGCACCCGCACGGCCCGCTCGCGCTCCCCGCTGTCCCCAGCGACTCGGAGGAGCTCCAGGGCTGGGCGGGCGCGGGCGCAGGCGCAGGCGCGGGGACAGGCGCGGGCGCGGCGCAGGCGGAGCAGAGTCAGCTGCAAGACGTGGTGCATCAGCATCTGCACATGCCGGGGGGACCGGAGGTTGAGGTGAGCGCGGGGGGCATGGCGGGGACATGGCGGACACGGGCGCCGCGACTTGCAGCAGTACCTGCTAATATCTTTCGCTATCACTTTCGAGTGCTCTCACGATTATCCCCTCCCTCCGCGCCCTTCCCCCCCGAGCACAGGTGAGCGCGGGCGACATGGCGGAGCTGGCGGACATGTGTCGCGACTTTCAGCAGTACCTGCTCGACCGCCGCCTCAAGGAAAACGGCGTCGCCGTCTTCATCAAGCCCTCCGCGCTCCCCGCCGCCGCCGCTGGCGCTGCTAATGGCGTGGCTGCTGCTGGTGCTGGCGCGGGGTTGAAGGAGATGCGCGGGGTGTACCTGACGGGCAAGGACCGCGGGCAGATGCTGCAGCGGCTGCAGCGGTGGGGAGAGCAGCGCGCGGAGGTGGGGAAGGACGTGGATGCGGTTCTGGTGGTGGATGCGGAAATCGTGCTGGGCCACACGGGCAACAGCAGCAGCAGTGGTAACGGTAACGGTAGCGGCGCTAGTAGTGACAGCATGGCGACTCTCTTCTCCTCTGCAGCGGCTGCGTGGCCGAATCTGGATCCGAGCAGGTGTCTTTTGGTGTGCCTGGATACGGGTACGGATAACCCTGAGCTGTTGGCGGCTGGTTCTGGTTACAGGGGGCTGAGCCATCCGCGTTTGAAGCCGTCTCGTTACAATGATATCCTGGCGGAGCTGCTGGGCGCTGTGCGCGTGTGGAACCCGAGCCTGCTGCTACAGTTCACGGACTTTTATAACAGTAACGCGTTTAAGCTTTTGGATAAGTACCGGGGGACTCACTGCTGTTATGAGAGCACGACCACGAGCAGTGACAGTGGGGAGGAGGAGGGAGAGGAGGAGAGCAGCAGCGAGAGTGATAATGAGGTGGCAGCGGCAGGAGCGGGAGGAGCAGGAGGGTGGGGAGGGAGTGTGGGGGAGGGAGGAGAAGGGGTGGGGGAGTATGTGGTTCCGCAGGTGCCGGTGTGCTGTGTTTCTTTGGACGGTATGCTGTCTGCTTTGGAGGAAGCTGATGGTGTTGTGGCGGAATTCGGGGTGGCTTTTATGGAGGATGCTGCGGATGGGGAGCCCAGGGGCGCGGTTACCAAGGGGAAGGCGTCGACGAATGAGGTGGCGACAAGTGGCAATGGAGCGGCGGACTTGGTGGGACTACAAGACGTGAAGGAGTGTACTCTGGATGGCGGCAATAACGACCTTATCTGCAGTAAGTGGAATTATTTTAAAAACCCACAGAGAGCGATCAAAGTCTTGCGGAAACCCACAATACTATAATCCCTTTCTTGCTTGTTTCGGAGTACCAATTCACTAATTATTTCTCCTTTCCCCCTTCTCTAATCCCACCTTCCCTTGTTTCTCCTTTCAACAGCTGGTTCTCTCACCTCTCCCTCAACACGCAAGACCCAGTACAAGACACGAGCTGTCCCTCACAGGCTCGCC